CAATCGTGCTGCTGGAAAACATGCCCATTATACAACGCCGGTCATTATTTGACATGCTATGCCAACTCACACGTCAGACTCTGCTAGTTTAGTGCGCTACCTTGTGCTACTGCGTGCTGTTTGGGGTAATATGTTTTCAAAGGTATCTCGGCTGGTTCCAAATATATATAAGTTGATCATGTGCAAACAAAACAACGCGAACATCAGTCTTCACGCCCATCTCCTTCGCATGTCAGGGGCCAAGTGACCTTGCTGCAGGTTCCTCCAGAGGTGCATGGGGAGGTTCCGAGCTGTCTTCTGCGACAAACTTAGCCGAAGACGGGGAGCCCCCTGCTGGCAGTCCAGAGTCGTACCGCTTCCTTGGCAAGCACGGCTGGATGAAAAAGAGTGTGCGCGTCCTACTCTCTTTGCATGAGCCTCGCTATCCACTGAAGGAGGCAAGGCAAAGAGCATCAAACAACACCTGTTGAGTCCAAATTTATTGCTTCAGGGGCTCATTGTGGGTTTGCTGTAATATCCTACCTCCTGTATAACTTATCATTAATCATAAGTGTCTAAGAACCCCAAAGCTGTGCAAAACGGATGTGCAAGTCCGTTTGTCTACCTGCAGTGCGAGTCAAGCCTTGCGTGGCTTCCACAAGTACACGCCCTCTGGTGAGGTGATAAAATAGTTGAGTCGTGGGGGTTGCCAACTTTCCGGACGATGCATATGCTTTTGATGTGTCAAAGAACTGTTAAGAGTTCTTGTGAGGTGGGTGGGTTGTTAGGGCTGTTAGGGGCTTCCATTTTCTGTGTGGTCAATCGGCTCCAAGACCCTTTGGCCCCAGTGCCGCAAATGGATCGCTGCGAGCGCAGGACTGTCAAGGACTCGACTCATTTCTGGTACCACTGCGGGTGCTGTTGATGGCGCATGATGGCGCGCTCTTCTCGACTGTTTTGGTGCGCAGTATGCCCAAAAGCCCTTTCTGAATCCACCCTTTCTGCCCCAAACTGAACCAGTTGAGAGCAGGAAGGACAGATCAGGTTTAGAATGGTTTAGAGTATGGCCCTGGTCCAGTTGCTGTCAACATCCACTGCAGCTGTTTGTGCGTCCTTTTGAACTTTCCCTCGAGGGTATTATTGGAGTTGAACACAGTTGAACTGTTCTGCCACTTATTCAGTGGTAAAGGAACGGTGGGGTATCTCTCTCTCTCTCTGTCTCTGACAATTTTTTCGGGTCTTTTTGGAGCATAGGCCAATTGGGTCCAAGCTTCAACAAGCCCCTATGATTTCTCCTGGAACCTATTTTAGGAACACCTTCTGATTCTGCCCCTCGAACTGCCCCTGCGCGAAACACTGCCTGCCAGTACACCGCACGCGTGGCATGCTCTCCTCCGGCGGGGCTAGCCGAGGAGACTCCAGTTCGGGCCTCAGCAGCCCCACGCCCCGATGTGCCAAACGGTACTGACGTGGCTACTTCCTGTGAACGAAGTCAATTAAGCACAAGTCTATGCAGTGTGGGTTGCCCAGCCGCGGCTATATCCGCACAATATAAACGCACCAATCTGAGAATTATATAAGCTACGAAGCTTTCACAGAAGAGATTGCAAATGCATGGTGCCTAAACTGAAACATGACGCGCTCAGCACACGAGATTTCATAGCACACCTGATGCACTTGAGCTGAGTTAGTCAAATACATCGAGGTGAGGCAAACAGGCTTGGATTGGTTTGGATATATTCCACAATAAGCTTGCCCTGATTCAGCACTGTCTGCCGCGTTGCCCAAACCCAAGCTCGTTGGATTGGTTTAAGGGTTGTCGATGATGTGAGACGTGTGCATGCTGCAGGCGTGGCAGGCACTTCTTCAACGACTACCCTACATGTTGTATGCATGGGCGCATCCATGAAACACACGTTCGGGCGAACTTGCCGTCAGTACTTTTGAAGCATGCACAAACAATTGACATATGTTTGGAACCTTTGCTCTCTTTCCCTGTGCATATTTGAAGCGCGGGGGTGACTTTTTCCTGCTGTGATGTGAAGGGCGGGGGACGGGAGTAGAGGTGACAAAGAACTTCAAGTGATACATTTTTGGCATGTGAGCACTTGCAATTCGTTCTTTCTGTTTGTTGTTCGGGAATTCGTGCAAATATCGCACCCCAATTCTGGGTATCAACTGAAAGTCCGGGTAGCTTGTGTCCGGCATTACAATACACTAGCCGCTAGCCGCTGCTTCGAAGGTCATTTTTGGAGGTTGGATTAGGGCCTCTGGTGAACTAATGTGAACTGAAACTGCACTATCATGTACGTAGGTTCCATATCAGTAGGACATCAACAAAATGCAGCAGTCTCTCTGTATAATATAGATTGTCCGTATTGACATGTCACATTGCAAGAAGTATCAAATTGTGACTTGATGGGATGTTCTGCTTACTACATGCTAGCTTCTTGTTGCTAGTAGTAATGCCCTTGTTGCTAGTAGCAATGCACTTGTTACTAGTAGCTTCTTGTTACTATGGCCAAATTCCTAAATGGATCCAAATGGCTCGTTTCCCTCGACCTCTTGCGGAGCATGGGGTAGTTCAGTGCGTTGTTCCGGCGCTGCGGAAGGCGGAGAGCGCCACGCGCGCCGGCGTAGCTCGAAGTCGTAGGGTTTCCTCAGGTTCGTTTCGCGGGTGCTCAGATTCAGGGGCGGAAGGGGTCACACGATGTCAGATCTACTTATCATGCTGTGCCTGTGAGCTCACCGTACCGAACCGTGAGAGATCTCCGCTCTTTAGGGCGTCGTCTGGCAGTACTGAGAGTCCGGCCTTTGCACAAAATATGCACAAATAACAACCTCGTTGCCATGACTTACCCGTTTCAACACCAGCTCAGCCATCCTGCCTTCAGAAGGGATGCAACCGGTTCGCAAACTCGTACAGTGGTTCACCCTGGACATCCAGATTTTACACGGGCAGCGAGGAGACCATAGATTGTTGGAGCAATGCCCAACAAAGGAAGTACTGTATATAAATAAAAGCGTCGTTAAATTAATGTGTGGATGAAAGATTTCTGGTTCACAGTGCTAAGTGAAAATGATCTGTGTTTTGATCAAATGAGGTGGCGATGGTGAGCTGTATTAAGGTAGCTGCAATCAGCCAGCCGCATGCGAACCGCAACCAAACAGGACCGCAACCACGAATTCCTCCCGCACACGTAGCTGCAATTGCAAAAAAACATTATAGCGGGTAGTCAAGTGTGCTGATGCATGAGTGTTCCGCGCTGCACTACCCCCACCTTGCAGCCCTATGATCAAACCTATGCTAGGACTATGACTAAGAGCTCAGCATGTATACGTTAACATCATTGAACTGCATTTTTACATGGAAAGCAATCTAATTTTGCTCTGGTGGCATTGTGGTCATCTGCCAAGGACGCAGCAAGAGCTCTTCCGATGGGGCTCTGAGACTCCGAGAGTCCCTCCAAAGCCCATTCCCGTGCAGTCTGAGATGCTAGACCATAGGTGTACGGATGTGTATATATATATATATACACACGTGCATAAGACATCATAAGACGTCCCCACCCACCGCCATTGGCAGTTTTCCGGTGGCCATAGGCATGTCAAAAGGGATTGCAATGATTACTTGAAAACGTCTCTGTTCACATTCATCAACTCTCGCTCTCTCGCGCTCTCTCTCTCTCTCTCTCTCCCTCCCTGTGTTGTATGCATATATGCAACCAAATCTACCTTTTGAGTGTTCTGACCAGAGCTATAGTGTGGAGAAAAGTCCTGCTTCCAAGAATGGTTTCTTTAAAGCATACGCGGCTGCTCGTCTATAAGCATATCGTCCTTTCTCAATGCAAATGTTCATGTTCCTTTTCATACATATAATACAAAGCTTGCCCTTTGTAAACAAAGTCTGATTTCAATCCACCGGTGCCCTCACCTTTACTAGAAAAGCATCCTCCTCGTATGAAAATGCTTTTGCGTATCCGAGTCGTTGTTGATTCATGCAAATATCTTCCTTGCTCGCATCTTGCTATTCCTAAGCCTCCCTCCGAACGGTCATCTCTATATATATATATATCCCTCGGTCCTTCGGGCATTAATTATATCCGTATCAAAGAAAGTCCACTTCAAACCGTTTATGCACTTGCCGTGGGCCACAGTAGAATTGAGACTAGTGAATAGAATTGAGATATACAAGTACATTCAAGCTTGTGCAGTGATTGCGAGCCCAATGTGTAGAATCACTGCAGTAGGCGCAGAATCACTGCATATTCTGGAATCTCTCAAATGTCTAACTATTTTCAAGTCTATGGGCTTCACTTGCAGTGATTCTGCACCTTAGGCTTGCAATTTCATAGTCCAACTGTTTAAGGGAGGCTGAGTTGGTTGCCTTCGTCCATGGTTGAGATGACATAGCATGCGTGTGTAAACAATGCCATGCATTATGCTCCCAAGCCAAATTGAAGGCCTACATTCAGAAGAGCTCTTTCAACAAACAAGTTTAGGAAATTCCTGCACAATTGCAATTGGCATGATCTGGAGGTAGGTCCGCTGGAGTTGGGGGCGCCAACCAGTTTTGATTCGGTCAAGCTTGATACGGAAATCATCCTCTTCGTCTTGCATCCCCTTGTAACATCGGGATTGCTCAACAATCAAGCAGCAAAACTAGGTGGCGCCTTCATGGCCGGGAGAAACGAACGTCCAAGGTTTCATATGACAATTTGGGTGTATTGCAGTAGGGACACCCTAAAGAAACAGAAAGAAGACTACGAACTGAAGCCCAGTGGTTGGTTATTCTAATATTGTGACCTGGACAGGTATTAACAAAAATAGAAAACACACCATGAGCTCTTGTACCATATTAAGTTGTGCCAAACGGATCCGCTTGGACCAAGGAGCAGTTTGAAATCAATAGCATCCACACGGAGCTCTGGCAAATCCCCCGACCTTGGGTAAGCGAACACGAGATCTCATGATCTGACATGATCTGTTTGGATAATGGATATGGAGCAGAGAGGGGCAATCAATCTGGTCCAGGAACCCATAGTCATAATAGTCATAAGTCATAAGTCATGTAACTGATTATGCGATTCCCTTCTCCACCCCTGTGTGTGTGTCTCTCTCTGTCTCTCTCTCTCTCTTTCTCTCTCTCTCTCTCTCTCTCTACTCTCCCATGACATCCACCCGATCAAACTCAGCACAGATGCGGACTCTGAGCAATTGGAGATGCCGACTTGGACACCAAAACCGAAGGCTGCCTAAGCGAACCAGGCTTCAAAAAAGTTCCAAGCTGTTCTTGAACTCGAGATGCCAGTCGATTTCATTGCGTTCATATACCCTTAATTTCATTGTGTGCGTTGATTTCATTGATTTACTTGGTTTGCCGAGTTTGCCAAAATTGATGACTCGCTCATTGCAAGCACAGGTTCCACTTTGACGATCCTTCCCGCTGGCCCGACCTCAAGCGAGGTGTGGTGGCGTGAGCCAGTCCAAGGGACTTCGCTCGCCCGACTTGGGATAGGAGAACAGAACAGAACAGAATCAATCAAAGCAAAGCAACACAGCAAATGGTGGCAGGACATCCACAGTCTGAGTACATGGCCCTAATCCGCGGGCAGTTTCTGTGTAGGCTGGTCGGGGTGGTTCAAACATCACCGGCGTGGATGAATGCTGCACGGTGAAGGTTTGGTTGAATGGCCTCAGTCCAGGCTACGGCCACGACAGGCACATGGTCCGCTTTGGGTGCCCCTGGGCCCCTTGGCTGTAAGACTTCGAGAAGAATCCTCCAATGGTTCTCCCTGCGCTTGCCTCAAGAAAAGGCCCCCAGTCAATGGGTGAACATTAATACTCGATCAACAATCTTTACAATCACTTCCATAGAAGCATGAGCGTCCCGGCATGCTATCTTCCTGCGGCGCCAAGCGAGGGGAGTCGAGCTCCTCTGGGTGAGGCCTCGCAGAATGCACAAGACACTGGGAGCAAGGCAAGTTCCGAGCATGGTCGAGAAACACAAGTGCACTGTGATACGTTGTGATACTCATTTTGAAATACTTTTTGGGGAATGTAGATTCAGCAAGAATTTCCTGCCACCCACTGACTTGTCCTTTCAATACTTGACTTGCACTTGGAGATGGTTATCAATCACTGCTTGATGGAGTTGTGAACCTCTTGTTGTCAGTCTGTCAATCCTCTGTTGGGGTCATCACATCGATTTGAAGGTATGCAGCAACTACCTTGCTTTTGTGTGACAATACTTGAGCAGGGTCTTGCTCCGCAGGCACCTCGCCTCACAACGGCTTACACACAAACATGGTCGTGGTGATGGTGAATCCCTTCGGATTGATGCTGGCCCAAATGACTGGTACACCCAATCTAGGAAGCAGTCCTAGTATTCAAAAGCATCATGGACTCCGCTGCCGTATGGTATAGACTAAACACGAGCTTCGTAGCACCCAGTCGTTGCAAGACTGAAAGCAACCTCTGCATTGCACGAACACTCATGCAGGACTTGTCAGGTGCTCTTTTAGTTGCGATGCCTTGGGTCGGAAGCCACATGAAGTCATCATCATCAGCAAAAGGCTTCTGAGGTCTGCTAAACACAGGGCGCCCCCCACGCAAGGAGGCCAGGGCAGGATGTGCCTTTCCCACGGCGAACTGTGTTTTCCCAACCGACCTTCAATCCAAGCAGCGCATGGATGCCCATCTCCCTCGGAGCAAGTCTGGGCGATGCCTGCGGCCTCAAGCGAAGCAAATGCTGAAGTGGTACCAGCCAGTGCGCCCGACAAACAACCATAACTACTAGGCTAGAGGCCATCGCTACTAGGTTACTAGGCTGGAGGCCATCGCCACTAGACTGGAGGCCATCGCCAGTAGCTTCTTTTAAAGTGTGTGCGTGGTTCCACGCAGAATAAACCCGATCTCTGCTCCGATTGGCAAACGCATATGCAAGTGCATAGAAAACTTATAGATGCATCTGCAACATCTCTACATGTTCAGCAACCTTCCATTGACCCAAATCCACGTTGTTTCCACCAAGTCCAGGTGCGGAGGCAGCTTTGCTTGGGCGATCTCCTGAAGGTGACGGATGTGAAACAATCTCCAAGAGATGCGGGGAATCTGGGTATTGAAGTAGGCATCCCCCCAAACAAAAATAACAAAAGGAAACCTGATATTGCCTAAACATGCCTAAATGATACACGGATATTGTCTATCAACACGAAAACCTGCTCTTTGTTAAATATATATATATAACTATACATATATACCTCTCTCTCTCTCTTTCTTCATGGCCCTCTCGAGTGAGTTCAGTTGTTGGCTGAAGGCTGTTGAACAGCCATTGGGCGGTGTTTGACCATGTTTGATCCTTAAATGGGTCTGCCTCCAAATAAGGAGAGGGCCCAACCAGTAGATCATCGACTCGTCCTACTCAGTTCTTTGGTCGGTCCTCCCATTTTCAGACCGCTGGATGAAGCTCATCAAAAACACACACCTTGGTTGCTCCTCAGTTGTAATTGCATGTTCTTTGATATTATTTGTTGCTCAGCTGGGACTTGGTAGCTCCCTAAATTGATTTTGGTATTCACACTGAGCCACCAGTCTCTTCGCGTCACTCCTGCGCGATCTCTCGCTGCAGTTCTTCCACCAAGCGCCGCTGCTCCAGGAGCATGTCACGGATGTGCTGCTGAAGTGCGGCCTTGTCGCGAAGTGGGCTGAGACACGAAGGTAACTCAGGTCAGTTCTAAGGCTTCTAAGGCGGATAAACAGCTCAACGGTCGTCGTAGGTCTTCTTTTGTCGATGAACCTGTTTGTCCATCATTGGCTTGACCGGTCGTGTCATCCTAAACGGCTTGCCAAGAGGCATTTGAATTCTCAGGATCGTCGCTATTGATGCCACGCAGCTTTTGCTTCCTAAGCATCGAATGATGTCAAATGTCTGACCCTTTTGATTATCTTTAATCCTTTATGCATCGTCAACGCTGTGGCCTTAGATTTCAAATCGCAGGTGGGCAATTCTCAAATGACTGCAGTTCTTTCGCGATTGCAATCCACCTCCTGCATATGTGTCTACTCAATGATGGTGACAGCGTCAGGAGACGACCTCTTCTGCTTTCAGGGTTGCAGAAGAAGGACGTCTCCAGAATTGAGACCCTGGTAGGGGAAAGTCATTGAACAGCAGTCCTCTCTGGTAGCCACCGTTTTGTCCAACACATACCACAAGCGACAACCACTGCGACTTGCAACTGCAACTCGAATTTACAAGGTCCAGATGCCTGTACAAGCTTGTCTCTACATTGTAGGTTCAAGATTTTCAGGATCTTCGCCGGACCTGAATTCATCTGAGATCATCTAAGCATCTCCAGCTCAAGCTGTTCAGTCCTGCTGGTGAGCTGTGCCAGCTGTTGTCGAATGATGGAGCCACCCAGAGGCTTTGGAGGCTGCAGCCGCAGGCTCATGCCGTCCTGACAGTTTGGCCCTGTTCGGGTTGGAGGCGGCCCCCCCTCCCAGGTCGAGAGAATCTGATGGAATTGTGCCCCCAGACTGGAAGCTGACCGCGTTTGGGTGGGTTTCTGAACGGTCTGCATTCCTGGAACCAACTGCGTTCCGCACCTCCGCTCTTAACAGCTGATAGAGCCTCTCTAACCTTCTCTGTGCAGCATCCGGATTGTTGCCAACCTCAGATCAGCGGGATTGTCGCTTGGGTATAATGCAATGGGTAAAATTACCTCTATTAAGTTCCTTCCTAGTATTCCCCCACAAAGCACGGGATGCTCAGTCAAAACAGCTTCGGAATGTATACATACAGATTCATATCTGGAGTTGAACCAGTTGCGGTAGGTAGAGTTAGTGGTGTTCGGGATCCCGTCTGCAACAGTCCAAAGACCATCCCTTCTCGTGGTCAACCTTTTCTGGTTTCCGGGGCGGCTGGGTGTGTCTTAGCTAAAATGATCAGCAAAGAAGTACTTGCGTCAGCAGCCGTGGAAGCCAAACGAAGAGGACATTCAAATTAAACAAGTGCGGGCTGCCGATCCCTCACGTTGTGCCTCAAACCAGTGAATGCTCAAGTTTTACCACGCGCAGGTTGGGAGACCGGAATCTTGACCAATCGAGTTTGGATTCCTCGCATCGTGGATCTTCCTAACCGGGTTGGGATCCAGCGGTTTTGGACCAAGGGCATTGACACTGACTACCGAGCCAATGGTCTTAACATGTCTTAACTACAACCCTTGTCCGCCAGTGATAAACAATCCAATTCGGCTAAGTCACTTTTTCACCATCCGGTTTGTAGTCCTCGCGCCAAGCCATATTAGGGCGCTGTCCGAGCCAATGCGGTTGATGATCCAAACATCCGTCGCAAACGACACCCAAACATATGAAGGCCTTGTATGGAACATACGGTTTAAATAACATATTGAAGACAGTGATGGACAATAATTGTATGGTACTCACAATCCCCCAACTTTTCCACAGAAGCCCAGTGCTGGTAGAAACCAACTTTCAGTGTATGCTGAGCACACAGTTCCCGTGCCGCCTCTCTCTGGCTTGCGTGGCGTAAACCTTTCAAGAACAAAGATTGACCTCTGCACACTTGTCATGACCACTCAAATCCTGCGAAGCTACTTCCCGGTCCCACATCGTGGCTTTGACTGGCATTTGTTTGAGACCCACTTGGATGGATTATTCTTCGACATTTATACCATTTCAGAGTCCAAAGCCATATTTTAGAGCAGCCTGTGAGGGGTGATAGCACTGATGTCTTTTCCCTGGCAGTTGGAGCAGCTCTGGTATGCCAAGACCAAAGGTCTTATGTGGTCTTGTAAAATCATTTTAAATCAGTGCGTCTCGAGTGCCAGGAGTCCTTCCTCGGCCACTGCTATACCCAAACCAATCACCATTGAACAAAATAGTGTTCCACGTCGTCCTCTAAGCAGTGGCTGTCTGGTTGAATCGTGGCAAACGCCCATGTTGAGATTTTCAGCCTAGTGGAATATGGCTGATTGAGGCGAATCATCTGCCGCCAGCTGAGGCGAATTACACCCTCAAGCAAGTACTGAAGTCCAAACATCAAAAATCACCAACAACAAAACCCTGAAACTGACAAGCATGTCGGCATGCTTTCAATTATTTCCACGTCCTTCTCTATACTTGCTGGGCAGTCAAGTCGGTTGCACCACCATTAGCTCTTCGACCGGTCAGGGCGGCTGAGGCCTGATCCAAGCTGCTAAGCAGGCGGTGTTCGATGGCTTTTGGCTGTTTAGTGGTCCAGCTTCCTATGATACAAATGAAGTGCCTGAGCAAAAAATGCACACTTATTTCAACCTGAGCTTCCTGTTCTGAACGCCCGCCAGCAATCAAGTGTTAAAGCTTCAAGCAGGCTTACTATAGGACTAGGAGCAACCATTCTATGTTTGGGCACACGTGAGCATGCCAATTATAAAGTCAAACCAGTCAGTAAGTCAGTATAGGTATTCTCACAAAGCGTTGACATTTTCAGACGACTATTTGACCATTCATTGAATTCATGCAAGTCAGTCACCCCCCAAAAAAATTAACTGACTGTTTCACCCCGGCCCGCCAGTTTGTAGAGTTTGTGGCCTACCAGGCCAGGCACAGCCAGGCCACCACTGAGGCTGCCGCGAGGCCCCGAAGTAGTCCGGCTCCAGTCGTTCTGCCTTCCAGTGGTGCCTTCGGTGTGAAAACCCTTCGAGAAAGACATAAGAACCCGGTGTTGATGTAGCTCTCCGGAAGTCCCCTGGTCATGCAACATTCCTGACCAAGAATGACTGCTCAAAGATACTCGAAGTATACACTCTTCACAGCGGGATGATGGACCACCCTTGCGTTGAAAGTATTGACAAATCTCAGCCATGACAATCTCAAAAGAAACAGGCCGGTTACATCACCCCACAACCAATCGTGTGCTGCCAAATCAAGATTCTGGTCTGGTCCCCTGGTTCGGATGGCTCCCTCTGACCCTCCCAGCTGCGTCACCGGAAACTGGTCGCAGTTCCGGTGGAACACGGGTGACGTCGCAAGGCCACTGTGGTCCCGGTCTGCTCAACTTCTCGTGAGGCGAGCTCCACATGCTCCTTCCTCGGGAGACTGGAGGGCTGACACTCAATGGACTCTGGCGTCGATGTTTTTGTCAAACGCCTCGTTTCACCTGTGCAGTGAAACCAGAAAGAAAAGAGCGGAGCCTATGTTTAATTGTAACATTTGTATACAGTAGGTACCATGTTCTAAGAACCAAACGTGATGCTCGCGCATGTCGGACTAAGTCTGCGAACGTCAAATGCCCGGAGCTGCCCCAAATGGTGGGCGCTGTCTCCGCCGGGGCTTCGTCGAAGGCCTGCCAGAGACGGACGCGCCGTTTGTTGGCGCCACGTCCAACCGACCAGAGCCAGGTTTTGGGATGAAACTTCTTCCAATGTTCACCCACTCCTGGTGTGCCCACCAGGCCTTGCTGCCCTGGGATTCCACCAGCTCACACATGTAGTCTGAAAAGGCCTTCACAACAGCAAGAACAGTGCATAGAAACTATCAATCACTCCTCTCAGCACAAGCCGTGGAGCAAGCATGATTCCCATGAGATGTGGTGACATGAAGCCTTGAAATGCATTATGAAACATAAACATTCTCATACTACGTCGATCCTACTGCGACTTGTTTTCTTCACCAAGGATGTCAACTACAAGCCATTCCAAAGAGGTGCTCCCATGCTCTGCCGCTCTTCCTTGCCTGCTCGCTGCCAGTATCTAAAAAGTTCCTATCCGACCTTGGCCAAACCCGTCGGTCGAAACAGGTCCATGGGTGTCCCGCTTCGACCGGCGCGAGGTTCCAAACAGCGGAAAGGCTGCGGGGCGGGGAGGGCTGGGCCCTCTGCAATCACAGCAATCCACAAGACGGGTTTGGTGAAAATGGGTGTGGGCAAATATAGGATTTTTGATGGTATTTATTCTTATGGATATTAGTATTGCAATTTTGAGTTATTTTAAGTTCTTTCCGGCACGGGTGTCCTTGCTTCCTCCGGGCTTCCGAGCTGCAGTGGCGGTCGGAAAATGTTGAAGGGGGTGTAGGGTAACAAATTGGACCTCGCGGACATCATGTCAATGGAAATCGAATTCTACGGACAGGGTCAAAGCCAGAGCATACACAGGGCCGACAAAAGGCGGCGCAGTGTAGTCTTCGTTGCATGTGGTCAAGGCATGCGGTAAGTCCAAGCTTTGCTCTTTAACACTGACTTTGGCCCCAGCACTCGTGAAGTGTAGATGTCGGCATATTTCTCCACCTGGATCTGCGATGCACTAGTGTCTGGACTGGACACCCCAAACCCAGAGTGCAATTCTGTTTTATTTCAAACACTCCTGTCATCTCCCGTCTATGTTTGATGAACGAAGAAAGCGGTATCAGCCATTCGCCACCCCTGTCCTGACGGAAGAGGTGGGACTTTTCGTGCAGCCCTACCTGAGGCCATGAACAAAGCTTAAACGCGGACTAGTATGATATCCTAGGTGGGACTAGTAAGCACGGACTGATTTCTGGACAATTGAAGGGGGCATCACCAGCTTGGAGTCTTGCCATCCTCCTTGCTTTGCTACTGCCATGCTGCAATAAATTTGAGTGATGCTAAGCACCGACTTCTTGGATACTGTCAGATGCCACACGCTTTGAGGCTCACACCCGCGTCATGAAGCCCCATCGGTCGTTGATTCCTGAGATAGGAAACCATTGAATGATACAACAAAATAGTCGTCCTGCTCTGGTCCGATGTGTACATGATGTCACAACGCCGCACAGAATGTCCGGCCGGGACGGCAGGAGTCGGGCTGAGTTTGGGAGGATGCTCAGAGCAGCCCAATCTCCACCAATGGTTAGGTGGATGTGGGTTAAAATAAAATACCTTAGTTGACCTACCGGCGATACGGTCAAGCTACATGGTGTTAGTGATCCGTCCCCAGATGTGTTGGCCTGGGATGTGTTCATCATCATCCAAGCGCTGTATCTCAGCACCTCAAGCCACAGAATACTTCAAGTTGGAACCCTCCCTTGGATGAAATGCGTCCATCTTCAATCATGATTAGGCATTAGGAACGGCACCCCCTACAAAGTCTGACGCGACTGAGTGATACATCACGATACACACAGTATACATATATATATACTGTGTGTATCATAGATGATATGCACTGAGTGATACATAGATGATACTGAGTGATTCATAATTTATGAGATAAACACACACACACACACATATATATATATATAAATACTACAGTAATCCGTTGCCTCAGCCAGCACAAGCCATTTGCACTGCATGTCATTCCCTGGTGCGGCCGGCTTTAATGCTATCAAAAGAGCTGCACACTAGATAGCGCTCCATTCTGGACGGGGTGCACAACAAGATGCAGGCAGCAAACACAAAGCTTCCAACTTACACCGTTACACATGAAAGTGGCATCACCTCGAGATCTGATAGCACTGACTAGGCACACACACACACAAGAGCCGTCAAACCCAAGCAACCTGACCCCAATGCGAAAAGGATGAGAAGGAGGATCAAAAGTAACATCGTGCACATAAAGCGACATAAGGCAAGGCACTACATTGCAATACACACGTCAAACTTGATGCTGATGTGCTGTCTGTTGCTCCTTGCTGCGTGACCTGTATCTAGCATTCGACTAGCTGCCTAGCTTGCCCTCCGAGGACTGCACAAACTTCGTCCAACTCCGCTTTAGAGAATGGGGCCTGTGGAACGCATGGAGGAAGAGGCTAATACACTCAACAGTACAGCCTAAAGGCACAACGGATGCAACCCATTCGTCGGACTGGTCGACTAACCATGCAAGCCACCTTTGTCTCATAATGTCGGAAGTAGCTGATGCAAAGTGACCCAACATCTGAAGTGCGACTGCATGCCGACATTGCCATATATGCAGTACCACCGGGCCAGAATAGTACCACCAAGTACAATACCATCATCCATGCCGTGCTGTGAGCACTTGCACCTGCAAAACCGCAAGCCTGCTGTTTTGAAACACTCCACGCGGATGCGGGTCCGCACCGTCCAATTTCGTGAGACGGGACCATGCTTGGCATGGGCCAAAAAAAGAATGCATCGACTTTGAATCTTGTGTTCGATGTCTGCTTGATAGCCCCAACTGGGATCTCCCGACAGAGAACAATGATCATGATCCCTATCCCATGACCCATGATGTTCATTTCTGAACTGGGATGTCACATGTATAATGTTCAAAACAACCGCTCAATCCAGGGACTCTTCGTTGATAAGGGAACCAAAAGGCGTGGAACAACACCAGAACAAGGAGATCCTCTGCAGAATAAAGGAGTAAAACGTCGTCAACAGCCTGGCACGTAGCGAAGATTGGATCACTCTGCATCAGCAACTTTTTGGAGAATTGGTTCCAATGAGCCTCGTCCAAATCTCAAGTACAAGGATGCACACTTTTGAGCAAAGAACCCTCTTGATGACAGTCCGATTTTCCAAGTTCCAAGGTGTTCCCACAAGTGGAGCTGTTTTCCTTCTACCTTAGAGGGATCATGGGATACAATCAAAGGGACTGCCTGCGGCCGAAGCTTTGCAAAACAAGGCGCGCAATGACTCTTTCGTGATGTTACCTTCCTTCCTCGCAGCACGAAAGACAAGTTCGCTGGGCCCAAAATAGCCTCAGCTGTGGCCGGAGGCCGGCCATGTTGACACATGCAGGAGGTTGTGTTTTGCTGCAGATGCCTCCATTCTTGAACAGCATCATGCGCGACAAACACGCAGGCTCAGGCTCAGGGCTTCATGTTCACACTAGCTGTCACTCCACCGATCGGGCAAACCAGTCATGAGAACTAGCCAGGTTTGCTATGCCGAGGCTCAAAGTCGTTCCACAGCCCGCAGCCATGCTTCTCCTGAGGCAACAAAAGCAAAACTAGCATTTGAACATTTGTTGTTAGAACATTTTCTATGTACACTATGTGGTATATTGCTTGGAGACCACTGACGTTTACTATCGTTTGCTAAATTGTGAACACGGTGCGAATGTCCAACACGGAAAAGGGTGCAACATGTCTTTGCACAATTAGATGCTATATCTGGAGCACCTCTTTGAAAGAAAACTCTTGAGAAAAGGTCGCGCTAACCAATTGAAGACCTACCAAGCTAGCTGTGTGGCATTTTGTAGTAATTATATAACTATTATCACTTATCATCTATGTTCCAATCATGCTGCAAGTGCAGTAAGTGTTTTCACAAATGCCTTTTTGATCCCAAACCAGCCCAGCTGGTCTGGCCAAGAATAGCCCACCGGAGGTTGCTCGGGCCAGGGACAAAAGGAAAACTTCACCTTCTAAAGGCTAAAGCAGTTGGAAACGCATCTCCCACCAAACGCTCTTGCATAACAACCTCTTGGTGTGGCTTTCGCTGGCAAGCTCCCCGGCATTCATCTTGGAAGCTCAATTGGTCGAGGCCAAGCGTCTGTTGAGGCTTCCCAGGCCTTCAACGTCCTGGAGACGGTGCTCGACAAACATGCGGCGCGTGCGCCGTCATCGGAGAACAAAACCGCACCTTTTGTCCTGATCTCTGCTGACCCAATGCCAACCTAAAAGCTACGGCCTCCAACCTAATAGCGATGGCCTCCAAACTCATGGCAAAATACTGTTGCGGCATTGTATACGTATTCATTTGCTACGCGGGCAAGTATAGACTGTCCAGCTTTTTCCACATGTTGTTCCAGGAGCCATCGCTGATTCTGAGCAGGTATTGCCTAAGGTGTACAAGCAACTGCTGATGTCAGAACGAAAAACAACCACCTCACAGCAGCGGGGGCCACAGGCCACACGGGGTCTAATAACTAATTAGGATTCATGAAGTTCAGTTGAAAGAATTGAGTATAATTGGGTCCAATGATTGATGGTCTTCTCTTCACTCTCATCATTAACCCAGCCCTCCCGCATGCTCTGCCAAGAAACAAGCATTCTCCGATGGTCTGCTGGATCTGCGGTAATCAAAGCCGGCCGGCATACACAAACCCAAATCCATGCTACATGACATGGCTCCTGCAAAACAATCCATCCTAAAACACAAACACAACACAAATCTATACATCTCCATTCTACATGACATGGCTCCTGCAAATTAACCCATCGTAAAGCACGACTGAAAAAAGGCTGACATAACTCTGTTACTGATCATTGAAATGTAGGATTTCACTGGATTGTTCGATCGAAACGTGCTTCAGAATCCATTGTCTCCTTTGGGTCTCCTTGATTGACTGGAGCTGCTCTGTAAATTGCAGTCCGAAAGGCATCATCAGTGACTTGCTGCAGGATAGTCCAGTCACCTCTCACCATGGTTCCATGACCATTGGCATTCAGGCAGCGGAAGACTGTCACGTAGAGCTCCTGAGAATGCACCAACGCATTGATGAACTTTCAAGAACTGAACACTCTGAACTGCATGGTGTGTGTATATGTATATATGGCCCCACATGGTGTCAAGAGGTGTTTGTATGATAACCAACTTGCTAAACATTTTGTTGGATGTATGGTGGGCATGAAACATGGATGGGCACGGACACTGGCAGTTGTTTGTTGTTTTGTTCCTTTGGCAATGTTTGGCCGTAGTTTCCAACAAGCATTTGATTCATTTGATACAACAAATGCCCCTTGGTGGATGAATGTCACTTCCTCCCAACCCCGCTTCTCCTTGAGCTCATTCTCGCTTCGTTCAATCTCTGGATTTGGCCAGCTGAGGCCCTCCAAGCCTCGAATGAGCTTGATGTAACCCACTTCACCTGAGGATCACGTGGAGCATCAAAGGGTCTCACATATATTTTTCACTGAGAGCCAAAAACTACTATGCCTTCAGCAAGCCTTAGTGGTGCTGGAAATTGGGGCCAGCTTTGATTCTGACATCACCGTCCAAGAAAACATCTTCTCTTCTTTTCAGGTCTGCCCAGCCCAAACACAAGGCTCGTTGTCATGTGTCTTCAATGTCCATATGTGAGCACATGATAGTACATGATGTATCACAAATGAGTCACAAGTACGGTCTTATGTAAATAGGTGTTCAATGGTCTTCTTGGGTCCCGGTGACCATTTCCATCTGCACCATCAAAGGAATCAAAGACTTTCTTGAGGTCCAGGTTCTTCTCCTTCAAGTACCTTTTCACGACGGGAAAAGCTGAGAGGAAAGACTTCCAATACTCTGATCCTGTGATTGATCGGCAAGTTCTGTTGGTTTCAGGGTTGCCAGCTTGTAGAACTTGGGAGATGACATTACCCCTTGTCACATCACATACAGTATCATACAATCTGCACACTGTCTGCGGCAAGCGTCAAAGCCAAATCAATAACTTCAGATGGAACCTCCCAAGCAACGAAGTGCTTCAAGTCAGCAAGTTGGGTGAACAGGCTAACTCCACGGATCGTCCACTACAGTAGTAGCATTGGTACTGAAACCACCGAAATCGTCTTGCCAGAAATGACAGAGTTACAGTACAGCAAAAGAGTGCTAAACAGGAACAGGTCTGTTCTGAAAAGCCTGCCTCCCTGTTATTGGTCCACCACTCCACTTCCTTTTCCAGTTGGTGCACGTCCTTGATGTGACATGAAACATATCCGCGTTATCAAGTTTTGACGAATCCTGAATTGACAAAAGTACACTCAACTTGGGTCTATCCTATTAACTGTAACAGTGGATGATGATGGTTAGTAAAAGCCTTGTTCAAAAATGATGATACATGTTTCCTGACTGTCACAGGTAAGAACGGACAAACACCCTACACTCAACTACTTGTCCAAGTAATTGTCCTTTCGCAAGTGGCAACAAGCGATGTGGTGAAGATTGCTCAAACACAAAATCCAGGCCTCCCATATCCAGGCCTCTCATCACATGAAGAGCGAGGAAGCCCCAATGACCGCCAAGTCTCGGAAAAGTGGTACGTCTTGCAAAGGTGCTTACGATTCATAAAGTTGCGCTGCGTCGCTGCACACACATAGCTGCACCTCAAGTAGCACGAACAATGGAGCGGGGGGGTGTTTTCCACAAAAGGAACACTCATTCTCCCTCCCAAGTGAGTTCCTCCGGAATATCTCTGCTATTGAATTATCCTCCCTCCAAAGTCCTCAACACAAACACAAATTTCAGCACCCAACACATCCCAACACTCTTCAGTTTGTTCGAGACAAGCGGCAACAATGAATGAGTCTGTTAGCCTCCTATTGCATCCGCTGCTTTCTACTACCTCTGGCTTCCACCTTTGACTTGGAGGGATGTGGCACCAGCAGTCTGAAAGGATTTCTACCGGCTTCTTCTTCTTCAAAGACTAAGAACCATAGGAATCTGCAGCTTAGCGGCTTAAATGTACCTCCCACTGGAACTCGGTCTTGCATCTCCTCAAAGGTTTTATGGCCAATATAGCAGTCGATTCAGCCTAGCTACCTCTTGATCTACCGTAGCTCTTGATCAACACCTTCAGTAGCACGGCAATTGTTCCTACAGTAGTCGGCTACTTAGCAAGCTTAGCAATCAGAAAAACTAAGGCACTTACTAACGACAACGTTTGTGCAGAAACATGCAATATACCACATGAAGCACGATCGGTATGGATACTCTCGTGCATGAGCACTTAGAGCCAACTGAAGCGAAGCTTGCATGTAAAAAAGTGGCTGTTGGCAGTTTAGCACAATCAAACAATTAATGATTCAAGATGGGTTGTTGTTTTGAGGTCTTGGACAGCCTGGTTGGCAGGTTGGCAGACTTGGCATGGCGCCTTGTTGTCAATAGTCTCACAAGGAGCCTTCAGTTTTGGATGATGTTGTGCAAAACATTCGTTGTTCATAAGTCATAAGCTTTCAAACTTGAGCCTTCAGAAGGGCCATGTAGGTATCAATTTGTCTATAGTATTTTCCAATCAAGGCCTGGGGCTTCATCTGCATGGCTTATAGGTCCATGAAGGTTCGGCTCATCGAACCAACGGTATCCAACGCATCAACAGCCTTCTGCCAAGCGGCCCAGCTTCGAGGAATACCCATCTTCAGCGGGTCAATGGTTCCATCAGGCAAAATATACCTGTGACATGAGGAATGTGAGGACTATTTATAATATATATATATATATGTGTAACATAATCTTCTGTTTAGATATTCTTGAAGGTCATTGATCGTTGTTGCTTCAGGCTGCTTAGTTTCCTACTTCTAAACTTTCAATGACACTCCCAAGGCTATTATTGCCTATTGCCACACACACACACACACGCACACACCTTGGCCAAGCTGCACTGGATTTCGAATATACCCCGGATCTTCGCGAGATGAGATCGCCAGCAAGTTCGAGATGCATGCGCGCTCATCATGGAAGTGGAAGTTGAAGTGGAATTGTTCGAACTCTGGCCTTGTCAACATGGTCGACACGGGCCCGACCAGATTGGGCCTTTCGTTGGCCCAGGTCCAGAAGCTTGTTTTACAGTCGGCTTGGGCACATCTTTGTCATTTCGATGTGGTGAACATTGGGATTTCCGGTGGTGTGCCACTCAGCTACTCAACAAAACAAGACCAATTCGTGAAACCTAGGTGAAGCTATATACGCCCGACACTAGAGTGAGTGAAATCCACCATTTCCAAGACTCCAAGAACTGCTGGACCTGAGGCATGACTCGTTGTGCTGAAACGGTGGTGTTGTTGTGACAAGATCTGCGCAGCCCGGCTGCTGCATGTATGGGAAACTCCTGGCCATGCCGATGCGTCGGCTGAAGACAAGCAAGTCTTCAAAGCTTCCAATCCTTCCACGATAAAGCTTTGCGTGCTCCGGGTCCTGGTTTAGGGCGACGAGGCAGTGGGGCCGAATGTTAGGTCAAGGGAAGGCTAGATATGGCAAAATATCATGGTGAGTCTGAAATGTTCAAGCCAATGGACTATATATAATTAGTCAACAAACATACCACGCGCAATTGTCATGAACGCAGCCTCCACCATGTCTTACCAAATCACCCACCCTGAATGCCAATGTCGTCACAGCCAACGTGCCAACTGGTCAAAATGAACCAAAAACGCCTGCGTTGGGATTCTTCTTTAAAGGTTCTTAAAGGCTTCAATGTCTCTCAAGGCGGGCCTATGAGCGACCTCCATCTGGGATTCCAACAGAGGACATTCGACACACCTAGGGGCGCCCTCATCTTCAACCCTTCGGACTTCATATTTTTGCACCCGACATGGCCCAGCGAAAATTCCCTTTTCATCCCGTCCATGATGCGGTTGAAGAGTGTGACGCACAGTTCGATGCGGTGCTGCGGCCGCTCAAAGACGCCAATCAACTGTCTGAGCTGCCTGCAAATGATCAACAACCGGAACTGCTTGTATACTTGTCATAGTATGATCGTGTATGGGTACACCCAATGCTCCGGGTTCTGCCCGAAAGTTGATTCATCAACACTGATTCCACGCAGCTTTCATGCCAAGTCATGCTCTGCAACATCCCAAACATCCACGGGCTCAGGGGGTTATGGCTTTAGGCCCGCAGCTGCCTGGATGAGAGGAAAAATTTGGAGGAATTGCTCTTCAGCGCTTGCACCACCACAGCTGGATCACCTCACGAGAGACACGTTTTTTTCATGTGTTTTTTCCGCGAGGAGCGGATGAAGAACGAAGGGCCCAGATACGGAAAAGGACGCCAAAACAAGAAACGTACTGGAGACATGTTGATACCATCAGCACGTACAGTACAACATGCGCATCAATCACAATACGGAATCATGGGTGGCCTGAAGAACCAGGAGGTCAAGCCGGTACGGCACCGCCAACGGTGCCATTCATCAATAGATCATACTCATACTATCATAATTACATCCCATCCTTTGTGAAGGAGGTTCTCCGATCCAAGCCGTCTGTTTTCGCTGGCCGAGTCGCACAGGGGATTGTGGACCTCAGTTTCTGTCATTTTTGAATGCCAGCCCAGCAGCTTAGTCAAGGAAGTGGAGCCTTCGAGCCTATCTGTCTCAAGGGTATGTTCCTGCAATATCTTGCAACCCCCAGGTTGTTTTGCTGCAAAAACATGCAGCCAATGACGTTGGACACTGCACATTGCCGGTGACTTCCAGATTGCCCTTGCGGCTGTTTGCGGGAGGAGGGCGAAGCCATGCAAAGCCCCAAAGCCGTGCAAAGCACCAAAATTCGTTCGCAAAAGCACCAAAGGTTCATGTCAGGCTGGGACAAGGCACTGTATCCAGCATCATCTGGAAAGTTGCAGATGGGAGGGCTCGTGCTGTTGGTGGGGGTCCGAACGAGCTGCTGTAGTCCAGCCTGGATCTTGCACAAATACCGAAAGTATTCCCCAGTCTCAGGGGAGGATCATGGGTCAAACTACAGGCTACAGAGCATACATATTATCATTACGTTTGCGTATGATTGCACCGAGCTCTACCTCAAAAAACAAAAAGTGTAGCGTCAAGCGGCTAGCTGGAAAAAACGCAATATATAAATATTATGTGCCACATATATATATATATGTATATATACACATACATTCATACATTCAGACATACATACATACCATGCACGCATGCAAACAGACAGACAGACAAAGACAGACAGAGACAGACAGACAAACACATACATAACATTATATACATGACATGACATGACATGACATGACATCACATCACATCACATTACATACATTGCATTACATTACATTACATTACATACATTACATTAATACATGCATTACATTACATTGCATTACATTACGTTACACTACATTAGATTACACCTGAGAAGGGAGGGTGCGAAAGCCAGCCACCGTAAAAGATATCAATATGGTCATGCGGGGCGATGCGAGATCCCTGGTGAGCTCCCCACCTCTTTTCCTATCGCATCTCCCCTGTACGCCTATCCTGCACATGAACTCCCACTCCATATGGGGCACCCTTTTGCGTCTGGTAAACAGGCGTCTTCACCATAAAAAGCAAGGCACCCCCAAGCAACTCAAAGCTTGCCCGCTGCATTCTGTTCCCTCCCTGTTCTATAGTGACGGACTCATACTTAGAACCCCCAGATTTTTCCCAAATGATGAAATTTCCACACTAAGAATCCTTTGGACCTGTAAAATTCTTACAGTAGAACCATCCCCGAATTGCAGGCCAAGGGCACTTAGAACCCCAAAAATAATACCAGCCAGTGAGAAGTTTGGAGGATCACACTTGACACCCGCCAGTGGCCCTCAGGGAAAACCGAATCAGTCAAGTCCAAGAAACTTTGGCCACAGCTTTTTTGAGCATACCCTGGTCCATGTGCCGTGCTCACACGACCTAGTTTCCTTAGATTCCTTAGATCACGATTTATGTGGTTCCAAGTGCCACACTAAGAATCCCCTTCCATTGCAGGCACTTTTCCAACTGCTCAGGGTTCTAAGTTAGAAGTTCTAAGTATGCCTAGAGTTTCTAAGTGTAGTACACTTAGAACCACTTGTGCAGGCGTTTTGTTTTTCATTTTTTCCAAAAAGGGGTTCTAAGTAAGAGTCCGTCACGATAATGGGTCACATCGTTTCTTGCAATCCCTCTTTTCGTATCACGTCCTCCTCCGCTATGCCTGTCTCATCCACATGAACTCCAACCCCATATGGGGTGTCCTTTTGAGTCTGGCTACTAGGCCTCTTCACCGTTAAAAATCCCCCCCCCCCCAAGCAATTCAAAGCTTGCCCGCTGGTTTCTTTTCTCTCATCATTGCATGACCTCGCACCCCATATGGGGTGCCCTTTTGCGTATGGTTAGGGGGCGTCTTCATTATTAAAAAGGCGCCCCCCAGAAATTCAATGTTTGCCAACCACGTCCTCCTCCGCTACGCGCGTCTTCCACATGACCTCCCACCCCATCTGGGGTGCCCTTTTGCGTATGGTTGACAGCATCTTCACTATTGAAAGCAGGCGCTCCCAAGCAACTCCAAGATTTCTTGGAAGCCCTCTTTTCCTACCACGTCCTCCTCCGCTATGCCTGCCTTCAACCTTCCCCACAGCATTCTGTTCCCTCTCCTGCCCTCACAGATCACACAGTGTCTTAAAGGACACACACCTCTCCCTTCACCCCTGCTCGAACACTAATTCAACAAGACGCATGCCTCCGATCATCGACATGAACTCCCACGCCTGGCAGAAGACAGTTTAGATTGCCTCCTAGCCCCTCATGATGCTAATGATGCAGTAATGGCCGTCAATTACATTACCTGCATCATAACACCCCAAAAACAACTCCCAAACTGCAAATACTTTTCTTCGCTATCCCCCACCAGGCTCTGGGTTCACCCTCCGAAATTGGCCGCTGTGCGACCAACCCCCACCACACCCCCTATACTCACTTTGCTCGCCCAACCCAACTCCAGCCTAGCCTATCGGCTGGCTTTCGTGATTACATTACATTACATTAAATAAGTACATTACATTACATTACATTGCATTACGCGCAGGCAGACAGACAAACAGACAGACAGACAGACATGGATGCATCCATGGAATGGATACAAACAAACAAACAAACACGCACCTAATTCATCCTAATTCTACCTCTACACATGCAGATTGGTCACTCCTGGCTTTACAATCGCACATGCAAGGTGTGTCAATGTGTGTGTGTGTGTCACACTGATTGGCTCACCGCCATTCCACAAAATAGTTGTCAAAATATGCCCAGCTGCTCAAGCTTATCATGGCTTGGCAACTTCCAGTCAGCGAAGGTGTTCCTCAGCTGGTGAATACCTGTGCATGCTCCAGCCAAAACATATTCCTTTTGAAATGCAGTGCCTTTGTGCCGAGTAGCTGTACTGGCTTGCCCTGGTAGAAAATATTTCGCGCATGCGATCTGTTCTGAGTCGCTGAGATGTCAGGCCGGTCGAACCTCAACGTTGCAACCGGACGAACAAATGGCGGAGGGAAATTGAAGGGCATGGAAGGGTAGTTGGAGGCCATCGCTACCAGGTTGGAGGCCATGGCCATTAATTAGGAAGAACCACCTTATACGCCCCAGGCTGGCGTGCAAACCCCGACTTCCTGGCCCCTGACTCTCACGCATCCGATCTTGCAGCCAATGCCAATGCCACGAATCAACACAATCCGAATGCCCCGAACTATATAATTTCATCCAGGTTGCTTCTTATCCATCAAGACTGGCAAAACAAGGCGAAACAAGCGGCACAAGGCGAAACAAGCGGCGCAAGGCGAAAGTGTCAAACACCTTTTGGGTTGTGACCTTGATGGGCAGCTTGGCACTCCACATGATACTGGATAGAAGCTTTCAGACTTCATGGCATCAGGACTGGTTGGACTACTGGGCTGTTCTGAAGCGACCCAAAAAGCTCAGGCTCCTTCCAACAACGAACCAAGATAGTCTAGTGGACGCCCCAAAGTTCCAAATGCAGTCCCAGCCTTCCCATTTGTCCAACAATCTCAGCATCTCAGCCACTGCCAAATCTGCGCGGTTCTCCTCAGTCGAGGCACGGGAGACTGTCTGTCCAGTTCAGGCGGGTCGCTGGCGATGATGATGTTCAGCTGAAGACAAAGGTTCCAATTCCAGCTTGTAGTGCCCAGTGGGATTTCCAGTGGAAAAGTTGATGAGCCTCAGCGACACAACGCCTGTGATTCGCAAATGGAACCATATCTCGCAGTTCCACTTCTGGATGCTGAGGAAAGCCGTGAGGGACGGGTGAACAGTCCCAAGATCTTGGGACCACTTCAGCAACGCGAAAACGTACGAAAACGCGCTGCAGGCTCCGGTGACCGACCGGTGACGAAATGGCGCGTCCACCGGGTTCCCGGACTCTCTCAGCTGCATGCGACAGGTCACACACTCAGAGGTCGTACTGTACATCCCCTGCGCAATAAAGTACCTCATGGCGCTAGAACGCCCTGGCATTCAACGCGGAAGAACACAACGACCAAGGCGACCCAAGGCTTCCTTTCGATGCCACCTTGAAGGATCCAACGTCTTAAGTCTTAACGAACCGGATTGGAAGTCAAATCCTTATGGATTGAACCTGACGAAGTAAGGGAAGTGAATGCTTACCTTAAGATACCTTAAGGGTTGGAAGTCTAAGATTTTCCAAGTCAGACCTTGAATCGCTATTAGGTTGTAGGCCACCGCTATTAGTAACTTAAAAAAAGGTTGTCTTTGTTAAATTTAGCTTAATGAATCCCGGAGTTGATCCAGTTCCAAGATGTTCCAAGCATCCATCCAGGCTCCCGCAGCACTGAGGGAAGCAGATTGATGATGCACTTGGGCTTTGCAAGCTGTGATGTCCTTGGATTGCTTTGCTTGGTGGGATCAGTTGGCAGCTGTCCTGAGGTTCCTCAAGCAATCAATAAGAAATCTGATGCTTATCTGCTTATCAAGCTGCACTCGCAACATTCTGCGACTCACTTCCTAGCTTTTGCTGCCAGTGGGCGCGGCCAGTACTCGCAAGTCTGCTAGAGACAAGACAAAGTCGGAGCTCAAGGCCTTGTGATCTCATGAGACGTCCATGGAAAGAAATGACTTTGAAGGTTTAGACTTGTCCAGCCACATCACACTTAATACGAAGGACCTACGTGCTGAATTGGGTCTATAAGCCTTAACGTTATGAAAAAAAGCTGTTGCTATCTCTGGAGTTTTCAAACATATCTATTTTTAGGAAATATAGGAAATAAATAGGAATAAAATAGGACCCCAAAATAGGAATAAAATAGGGCAGAAAACAAGAACAAACATGACATAGGAAACAAATAGGATCGAATATGTCAGATTTACCGGAAGGCAGGTGGCTCATTCCGATGAGACGCATGGTCAGGCACAAGTGAATGAAACTGGATATTTAATAGCAGTGCGGCAATGCAGTTAGGCCGGCATTCGATTGGAATGATTAGATTAGATTAGATCTAATTATGTCCTTTCATTTTAAATTTTCCTTTAAACATTGATTACTTCCTTTCATGTTCCTTTAAACAATTAAAACTTCCTTCAATTGTCCTTTTAAACGTTATTCTTTTAATTTCCCTTTAAACATATAAATTCCTTTCATTTTCCTTTAAACAAGATTAATTCCTTTCATGTTCAATTAAAGATGATAAATTTATGTAATTTTACGTTAAAACAATAAATTCATTTCATTGTCTATTTAATTTGTTTTTATTCCTATTTTTTTGCTATTTTGGGGGGGGGCGGCGAAAATTGTCCTTTTTTTTTTCTTTTTTTTTTGGGGGGGTCGAAAATCGTCCTATGTTTTTCCTATTTTCAATTCCTATTTTTGTTCTATTTTTATATATATTTTTTAATTAAAAAATAGCCACCCCAAAAACATAGTAAAAAAATAGGAATAAAGTAATAAATAAATAAACAAAATATAGACATAAAGGAATTTATTATTTTTAAAGGAATTTAAAGGGAAATTAAAGGAATCTATATTTTTTTAATTGAGAATGAACGGAGTTAATAATTTTTTAAAGGAAAATAAAAGTGAAAATAAAGTATGTTTTAAAGGAACATGAAATGAACTAATCAGTTTTTATAGGAAAATGAACGGAAATTTGCTTCCAGTATGTTGCTTCCAGTCATTTGCTCTTCGTATCCATTTCATGTTCCTGTCCTAGAGTGCTGCCATTCTTTTCCTGTTTTTCCTTTCCTATTTCTAAATCCAGCTCTGTTCTTTTTCTATTTTTGAGACTCATCCTCTTTGTGTCCTTTTTTGTTCTCCTATTTTCAGTTCCTATTTTTTCTATGCTATTCATATTACTTTCCTAAAATAGTTATTTTAAGGTTTTTCAGACATAGCAGGCAGCTTTATGTCATAACCTTAACGCATGCGATTGCTGATCAAGCTGGAGAGGATCTGTCAGATCATTCCAAGTGGTGTGACCTTAAATTGCTGTTGGAAGATGTCGGAAGGTAGTCACCACATGCAACTGCATGCAACTACCCTGTTCTGCTGATACTATAGCTGCTTTTTTGGGGTGGTATTGTCCAAAAAGCAATCGTGCTCTTCCATGCTCTGCCACCAGTCATACATAGGCAATCCAGCCAGTCTGGCGTACCCAGCTTCCCCACCCCGTCGTCCCTGCCCCTGTGGCCTTCAGTAGAACGGTCTGAGAGTGGAAGAAGCCATCCAAGTCGTACCAGCGCCCAAAGACAGGGATGGCCTCCCCAATCGAACATGTCGGACAAATGATGCTCTGGATTGCGATGGATTCGGGTTCAATTATTTAAGTGGGAAACTCCAGCAGCAATCAAAATGCTTTGCAGTGGTTAGGCCCTTTGGCTGCTTGAAGGACTCTAGGTTTAGTCAACCTGATTCCAAACAAGATCATGACTAGACTCTAGACTCGTCCGGCAGCTCGTCCCGGGCATGGCAGGGCATGCCTTCTTCTCATCAAGCTGGTGCCGCGTGACCTGGTAGAAGCCTCGTTGAACGAGGTCTCGGTCTGCAAGCGAAAGCAACTCGAGAACCAGATTCAGATGTGCAAAGACATTCTCAAACAGGCACCCCAAAGAACGAAACCAGACGACACCCATGGCCCATGATATCTATATATAAGATTCTTGTCTATAAAACTATATGTGCAAAAATTATGACATGCAATAGTATAGCATCACGGCTCTAAGTTTGAAACGGCTTCTGCTTGCTGGGTGGCTGATTCGACCGCATCTCTGACAGCTTTCTGCTACCAGGGTTTATGTTCAAAAAAGGCATGCAGCCTGCGCATCAAGCAAACACGTGAACTGAACCACGTGCAGTATCCACTGCATGATGGAACTGCCACCCTTCCAGGAGGTCGCTTCGATCACAACTTTGGGCCAGCTTCGCCCAGGCGCGTTTGATGACCGTGTCAAAATCTCGCTCCAAACCTTTGAAAATGGATGATTCCAAACATCTTTCCTTAGTTGCCATAACGGATGTGGGACTCCAAAAAAAAGCATGTGGCCCAGAAAAATGGTGTCTCGCAAGTCGTCGGTCCAGGCTCGTGTGTGCACAAATGAAAAGACTCAAGACAAACGTTTCGTGCAGGGCAGGGCTAGTAGGCTATCAGGCAAATACACGCAAATTCACTAAAAATCTCTAAAGTGATGGAAGGTCCATCTGAATCTTAGTGATGATATAACTATAACTTTTTCATACTTTTTCTGAGCATCCAAATTGAAGGACAACGATACCTCCCCTTCGCGTGGCACCTCCCATGTGCCTCAGCTCAGCGGAGAGCGGATGACCCATCAAACATCAGGAGTCTCAGGCGCTTCACAAAAAGCCCAAGACTGACGTCGTGAAGGCTGCTTAAGACGTGAAGGCTGCAGTTCTGTTCCACTTGCATCTCACCTACTGCACTGTTTCAAACATGAAAGTCTGAGGTCGAAGTGGCTGTCAAGTGGCGTCTGAACTCCGTCTTTGGTATGAGCATGGATGACCCATCTCTTCTGCGTCTTTCATTGGTGTTGGGGACATGTTTGTTGACTCGAGCTTTTCACGTCCAAACCTTCAAACACCACTCCACCACAGACCAAAATAAGCTCACCAAAACGCGTCCAACAGAGTCTCCAAGCGGCATGATCATGATCATCCATGACCAGCATCCCTTTCAACCAGCCGCTTCCCCAGCGGTGTTTTCACCCCATCCCGGCATATCCCGGCTTTCCGCTTTCGCGCCGGTCCCCAGCGGCTTTCCCCGGTCCCCAGCGTTCACCCGAGCACTGAGGGCCTTTTTTCCATCCCGGTGGCCATCTTTCTTCTTGGTCCCATGGGCAAACGGTCCCTCAGAGTTGACCTTGGAGGTTCGTTCACCAGGCATCCGTTCAATTAATGAACAATGCAACAACAAAAATGTATATATAAATATACATATGTTGGATTCAAACGGGGGGGCATGTCATGTGCATGTATCTCTTCAAGATCTCCAAGTAGTCTGGGACAGCCCACTATATGCCGTCAACTGCACTGAGAGGAGAACCACTCGTTGGTTTGATTCGGAAAGGCTTACAACTCTCAGTTTCCAAGCGGCAATGAAGACTTCAGAGGGTGACAAGTGGAATCGTTCAGCTGCTTTGTAAAGCATTCGCAGCAAAGACCGATGATACCTGTCACATCCGAATTCTAGGTGGAAAATAATAATCTCAAACCAAGTCTACAGCCTCTTTGCTGCACAGAAAGGCTTGGCCACTATGCTTTCTTAAGCTCATGCACCAAAAGACTGCCATTTTTGAAACATCGCTGTTCTCAGGTCCAAGTGACGGGCGATGGAGTTGCAAATTATAGGAGCCTGCACCTTGCAAGTCACCTCAGGACTCAACAATCCGACTCACCAATCCGCACAAAGCACCTTCCTAGCCCAACAACTCGCCATGCTGTATATTTTTCAGTATTAAATATATATATATATATACTCAACGCAATTAGCGTGGAAAGTTCTTCGGCATGTTGGAGACCAATCGCAAGTGCAAATTTATCGAACTAGCACAAGACCCTATGTTCATCAGCCCTCTTCCCATGATTTCTTGCAACCTGGGAGCTCATTTTAAAGACCTCATGGTCATTGATGGATGGCTCCTTCATCGAAAGCTTCTTGGTCGCTACAGCTTTGTAAGCTGAACCGAGCCAAACAGAAACAGCGTGCGTGTTGTTGCCATAACCCAAATGACAAAATACGTTGACAAAACACAAGCGACTCAAATCAACACTGCTCAATCAGTTTAAGAATATTCTCTTGGCGACCGGCTTTGCTTGAGCATCCCCTCCTCCCCTCCATAGCATCCAGAAGTGTCAAAAAACTGTAAGCAATTCCTGCTGCGGCAGGAGTCAGGCAAGCGGCAAGCCCCAATAGCTCAATTTGAACGTTTCAATTCCTGTCTGCTGAATCTCTGAACTCGTTGCCAAGTTCACGCTTCTGCGCCAAGCTGCGTCTCGCTGGCAACACATCGAAGGATGGACCTCGGTTTGGCTTCGTGCGACTTCGTGCGCTTTAACCCTGTGCTTTCTGACTTTCTGTTGCCCTTCTTTGCCCAATCCTCCCACGCCTCAAGCCACGTGGGCCTAAAGGATTGTCAGAGAGCTGCAAGTGCTTCAAGCTCCTCAGAAACTGAACAAACAAGGTGGGGGAGCAAGGAACTGGAGCAGGGCAAAAGCCGGGCACTATGCTGTGAAGTTTCTACTGTACCACGGAGCAATTTCTGCAGCTGGAAAGTCAGGCAATTCATTCATGCTAGTCCCAGCTCGCTAACCAACTGCTCTGCGGGGCGGTTTATTTATCACGTCCAATAATGAGACCAACACACAGACCCGGGGACTTGCACTTTGCTATGCCCTTGCGGTGGTAGTCTACATTGCTTGGAGGCCACCGCGTGGATGGAGTGAACTGGCTTCTTCCAATATTTCTTCCAATATTTGATACATGATTGATTACAGTCTGATTTGGAGCTTGTGCATGAATTGCCGTCGGATATGCCTTCCACATTGAACAAAGTTGCGCAAGATGCTTCACCCAAGCGTCTTGTGATTCTGGAGCGCGTCCTCTAGAATCAATGCGGACCGGAAGTCCATCCGGGTCATGGACAAATCCAGCGATGTCAAAGCTGAATCCATCTGTAGCTCTTCTAAATAGAAGTTCACCTGGCATCTTCAGAACGTCTGAAGGCGTTTGAGGCCATCGCTACTAGGGGAGGCCATTGCTATTGGGTTAATCTAGACTAGTTGGTTGGCCTGAATCCTTTTGAAGAGCTCTGCACCATGATCCTCCCTGACTCCCTGATGTTCACCTCTCCAATCGGACCAAGGTGCTGGTGTTGACAAGCGGTCAAGGCCTCCGCCAGAGCAGTTGCAAATGTTCAGCTTCTTCACCTGCCACGCTCCACTCCATTCAAATCTTCCTGCTTCAGAAAATGAACAGGAAGCAACAGCGTTCAATGCTGCAGCATTACGGTTCGTTTGTTTCCTCTGGTGCAAATGCTGCGAGTCAATCATCATGTCGCAACAATGACACACAAAGCATCTTGTGAGGAATGCCAGGACCAAGTTCGTACTTGTGATGACACCTGTCTGTAGGGAACGCCTTCTGATTGCTGGTGCATCACCATGTCAATTTGTCTAAAGCGCCCACTTGGGGCAACGACTAGCCGGCCGACCATCTTCCGCTTGGCCAGTGTCTCCCCAAGGCAGCAAAAGAGTTCGGAAGAGAACCTTGGATCATCGACAGGATCCCATGGCGATCGCCATGACAACTTTCACTGATCGAGTGCTGATTCTATGTAGAAGTGAATGTTCCTTGACCAAGGAACGTCTTCCAAATACGTTCAATGATTGGCGTTGGGGTGCGTCTCTCAACTCCGCTTCTTCAAACCAAGTATAGAGTAACAAATGACATGCCAAGGGGGCTTTCGAACAAGCATGCTGGTGGAAGTGCTGGGCAAATCATTGCAAATTCGGATTTATCTAGACGCAAGAGACATGAGTCCAAACTTATTTAGACTTGGACCCAAACTGTGAGTTTGTCCCAAACACTCCCAGTCTAGCCACTGATTCCAGCTAAGGTCCAACTCTGCCACCTCAGACCCGTAACGGACGCACAGCTGAAAGCGGAATCACTGGAAGAAACAAAGCTTATCTTAGGGGTGGAAATGACAATCAAAAACATTCAAGTTAGGTTGGTAGCTTCATATTCATGTCATAGTGTAGGAGGGTGCCCACCACGAGGCATGCCACATCTAGTGACTAGTGCTATTGAACAACAGCACGTCCCCAGGCGTCAAAAATGTCCGGCCGTGCTGATGGGAGGAATGATTTTGAGATTCGCACATGTCCCTGGAGGAGCGTGGTCACGCACTGGCAGCCAAAGCCAACTGGACCCTTCCTCAGCGAGCCATGCACAGCGAGCGAAGCACAGCTGTGGCGTGGTCACTTGGAGAACATATAATCACCGGGTCAAAAAAACAACATGGTTTCCTGAGGCTTCCCTCAAACAGCTCTGAACCATGGAGAGCTGAGAGCAAAGCTAGCAGGTCCAAGCAGCCAAAACAAGGTGAAGCTGAAACAACTATGCAGGACCCAAACCCTGCGGCATGCCTGTTGTCTTGAAATCTGGGTGCCACTATCTAGGTGCCATCGAGCCAAAGGATCTCAAGCTACATGTACCATGCTTTTCGAAAGCACTGCTCACTACCAAAAAAAGATTCAACCCGTCCAGTTAGGGCAACCTCCGAATCCCAAAAGATCACCGATACTGTAGATCTCTGATATTTCAAGGTGATCTTGTCCCTGGCTGCACGCTCTGCACGCGCCAAGTCTCCCAAAGGTCGTCCCACTGAGGCTGACCTGGTCCCATGTTGCGGAGAACAGCCCGGTGTTGCGAGAAGTCTCATAGAAGTCATGCCACGTCTAACCGATCTGCACGGAAACATGTTTAACTGGAAAATATTATATTAGACAATCCCAGCAGGAACCTTCATTTGAGATGCGCAAGGACGGGTGGGCGCCTTGTTCTCAATCGCAACCTTCTGAATGACTCAACAAACGGTCTGAGTGCGCCACAAAGGACAGTGTCTGGCGCTCACTGATCGCTTCGCAAAGTGGAAGCAACTTGTGGTGGTCAATCTTCACACCGCTCAGGTCCTCAGCACTTCACTCACTTCGGTCAGTGATTAAGCCCCTCAAACCGCCGGAGGTCCAGGGTGGCTCCGGTGTTTCATCCGATTGCATGCCAATCATCTGTTTGTTGGATTCCCAAATATTCCCAAACAAGATCCGATCCGCCAAAGAAGAATACGACATAGACACTCACATGGATGTTTCCCCGCTGGCACCGAGGAGGGTCCAATGTGGATCACGGCAAAACGGCAAAACCTCAAGTTCTCACATATTCTCGGAAACAACTCTCAGTTGAAAACTGGCAGTTGCATGCAGTTGCTGCAAAAGGAGGTTGTCAGGACGCTTCACATGTGGATCCAACAGGACCTCCCTGTCTCAGGCGAGGTCAAGTCGTTGCAAATTGAAGGCATCGCTCACGAGCTCAATGGCACCTGCGCAGGGGGTGCAGGGAGCACTTGAGCACAGCAGGAACGAAATGCATGGAGCACTTGAGAGCCTGCAGTATGCGGCAAGTTGGAGCTTGCCCCAACTGCCAGTATGCTGCGAGGTGATTGGATTTCCGTTCACAAAAGCCACCGAAGACAAACAAGCACGGCAGGACTGTGACCCCTGAACGCTAACCTCTTGGTCCGAGCTGCGGTCGGTGGTATTGGCCCCTGCCCGAGTGCACCCCGCGATGCTCAGCTCCAGCAATTTCGAAGCCTTGGTCAACACATGTTGGACAAGCTTGGCAGCTGTGACTATCAAGGTTTGCTTGGTTCTTACAAGTAACATCCAGTAAATGCAAGATTGGCAAACAGGCACGCGGCATGCTCCCTGACCCGCAACAAGCGCCACCACAATGGGAGGGCTATCTCAATCATCGAACATCCCAGCTCACCTCTGCTAGGCTTCCCTGCCAATTTGGGTGCCAGCAAGCGCTTCAAGAGCTGAGCAACAGCTTTGTCACCTTTAGTGGAGTTGTGCCAAGCTCCTTCTGACAAGCCCTGGCTGCTTCACACAACAAACATTGATGGACTCAACTGAGTCCTTGAAGTGCAGTCTCTATGCAAAGTCGTGTGAGGGATGTTCAGAAGGTTGTTCTCATACACAACTTGCCGATTGATAAGTTGGGATGTTCCACCCAAGGAAATTGATGAAATCCAAAAGGTCCACCACATGGCGTTGCCAAGCTGCTCAACATGGCGTTGCCATGCAGGTCAACCTGGCACAAGCCCCTCAGGCACCCTCGCACGGGTCTGCAAAACGAGGAATAAGTATAGTTTAGCAAGGGCCCGTGTTGTGAATCTACTATGGTCTGCAAACCTGGTTTTACGCTCTTCCCCCGAATCTCTGTGGCAGCCTTCTGCACTGCTTCCACTGTTGGTAGAGTCTCAGCCACAGCCTCGAGTGTGGGTGCTGGGCATCAGTTCACACTGAACCTGCCTTGCTCGTGTGACTGGGGTTGGGCATGGAACACAAGCATGCCAAATTACGGACTTGTCATGCAATTTGTATTGCTAAAAGCCCCACCAACATCACTAACTTGCAGAAAGGGAGTGCAGAAAAAAAAGAGCTGACATGCTCCCATGACATCTTAGAGCAAGGCCTTCATCTGAGGCCTCATATGGCCCGGCCAAATCAGTTGTTGGCTTAGGTTGGCTTGCGTTTGACGATTCGACGCTGTTTGACAGCTGGTGTCTGTAGAGCCTCGGCCCCGGGTCACAGGGTGGGCTCCTACGATCCGACGACGATGATCATAAACAAGTGACCCTTCAATGGCATGCGATTCGCCAACTCAACTCACTTCCGCTCTCAACTCCACTGTCACCAAGGTACCAGCAACTCCATGTCACTGAGGTCCAGGTGCGCCAGTAGCAAGTCTTTGGTTTCTCCAATCCTAAGGAATCTCCTAACATGGTGGTGACTCGATGTGACTCGCACCTTTCCACCATTCTGCAAAAGCATTCCGCGCTTGGAGTGCTTTGAGTCCGCGCAAGGGGCTGAATGCAAAGAGTCAGGAGATATGGAGTTGAAGTGTGTCCAAAACATCGTTTCTGGACCCTAGCAATGCATGAAGTCCTCAAAATTGTGGCCGCTACAGTAACCAGTTTGGTTGCAGTGTGCAGTATGTAGTGTACTTCTGGGGCTCGGCTCATGACTCACGCCACTTGGAACTGCCATTGAAGTGGCATGAAGGGCATCGGCAAAGGGGTCATCGGCAAGCCGTTGCATTGCTTTAGGTAGCGCTCCGTGGTCAGGCTGCGAACCTCCACATGGAGCTCGGGGCTGGGAGTCCGGAGACGAGGGCGGGTGACAGTGCAACCACCAAAACTATATACCATATACCTACATAGCAGTAGACTCTCCTGGGCAGCAATGGTGTCTCATGGCAGCACCGGAAGACCCAGAAAACTCAACCATTTAGCAGGCACCTTGTATGGAATGAAGTAAATCATCCTTGACCATTGAATCCAACAAACTATGATGCTATCAGGTAGCGGTAACTCATCTCGTCCACCTGTTAAAACATTTAAAAATAACACGCCCCCTCACCATATACTATTTATATAGGGGTCCCCAATTAGGGGGACCCGCAAAGATGGAAACCTGGGAAGAACTTCACAACTGAAAAGTCGCCCATGAAAATGGTGTGTATAGAACACTATGTAACTTAAAGTCTTGTATTAAACTCGTATCAAACATTTCATGCAAAACCTCCCAGATCGAAGGGTTTCCTTCTCCCTTACAACATCCTTTATAAACAAAAAATATGATTCTTTGACATTCCTGGGTGCACTGGTTGATAGGTGGAAGGGATAGGCAGCTAGACCCAGGCAGCTAGCAAACCAGCTCCTTTAAAGGAGCATGGCGGCATGGCGCCAGAGCGGGGAGGGTTGAACCCAATATTTTACACAAAAACAAAAAACAATGTTTGTAGTCTAAGGGTGCTATAAGGAGGCAGTAACTTCAAAACGACATATTCAAAGTATTTAGGGGTCTCCGACATGCGCTTTTTTGGTTGGATAGTGATAGTGCTTTTTTTAAGGGCACGTAGGGTTATAGAATGAATGTTTCGCACCATGAAACAAAAAAGCCTTAGGCTTTAGGCATCCGCATGGCCGAGCAACAGGAGGCAGCTTGCACACCGCACCGGTGCCAGCATCTCGCAGGAAGGAAGTCTGGGATCTGCTACTCATCATTCGTCCTCAGAGTCAAGTCTGCAGGTTTTCTCAACATGGACCAGCCTGGCTCTCGCTTGAGTCTAGTCTGAGTAAGCCAGGGCCAAGACTTGGACAGAACGCTGCCACACGAATTCGATATACGTACCCTAGCGAATGACGTCAAAATGTCAATCAAACATTGATTGGCTCATTGATTGAGCGCATGTTTCCCTGTCCTAACCCTTTTTGGTTCTGCCTTTGCCACACCTAGCCAGCTTCCCTGTTCTCAGGCAGCTGGCTCTCACGCACAGTGCAGTTGAGACATTGAGGATCACTGACGTGTTGGCAAACACTCTTTGGGCTGAATGGGATTAAAATCAATGTGGGTGATGCAACACATAGAATGATAGCAGTTCTGTGCAAATTCGGCAACAATCCACGCTTCAAACTGATGACATCGATGCATTCCCCTCAAGCCCTGTTTCGTGCCATGCAGCTCGTGGACAGCTGCTTCTTGATTTTGGAAGGGTCAGCGGCTGGCCCAGTCGCCTGACCGACGAATCACGTGGGACAGCAAACGCGCCACGAGATACCCAGATACAAGGAGAATCATCACACCTCCTCAATAAATGAAACAAAAACAGCAGTAGCTTGTGATGTGTTTTCAAGCCAACTAGCATCAACACATTCGTCCTCAGCCAGACAACCCACACCAGCTTGGCAATCCCTGCCTGCTTGGTCCCTAGTCCAGTGCCACTCCTGCAATCCAGGTTCGTTTGTTTGCCCTTGTTGTTCAATCCTCGAACCTTTTTGGGAGAATCTAGCAATCACAAATTCTGTAAACGCCTGAAGTGACAGGAACGCAGCTTGAGATGAAGTGTGTTCATGAAAATTCGGACCCAATAAAGGTTCATCTGACTCAGCGGGCGTTGCCCACGCCAGTCCTCTTCAACCCTGGATGCCTGGGCTGAATCGGTGGTCGCTGTTCAGAAGTGACAACCTCCCTCGCTCTCTATCTCTCTCATTTAAGTTTATCACATTGAACGATTAAACTAGACTATTTCATCGTTGAATCATTGTATGTCTTGAGGAGTTTCTTTGGAGAGATGAACTACATTCATAAAGCTGTTTGTCAATTAGGATCTACAACTTTCTGCAGAACCAACATGTGTTCGCTTCACTAACCTGCCATCACTTTCGCGCAGGACGTTAACGTTCACATTTCTGTGTATGTTCGCTACTGATTTCCTGCGTGAAAAAGGATCCTCACCGTTAGTGAGAACATTTGTGCTCAACTGGGGAGTGCCTTCAACAATTGCACATTCACACACCGAACATCCCACTCCGCATGTTCCGCAGCTGGACTTCCCGCGGGACGACCTTCATCTCCAAGTGACCGGGTGTTCCAAGCATCCTGGCGACGCCAAGGGGCCGGTGCGTTCGAAGAAAGACTCCCGGAGGATACATGGAGTGAACATCCGTTCGAAAGCATGTGATGCATCCGTTCGTGTCAAAGTGTGACCATGTTCACGGATGTTCACGTGTCCATGCCAAGAGCAGCATCAGTTCGCTGGCGCACGCCTCTGCGCCCCCTCTCGACCATTTGAGAAAGTAATGCACATGGTCGTTGATCCAAACAGTAGCAGCTACTGACAGTACCAAGGCAAGCAAGGACTGGGCTTTGAGCATTCAAAGCTCAAGCACGAGCACAAGCCTGTAATTGATCCCAAATTTGCCAATTAAGCCAACAAACACATAGCATTTTGGCATGCTCTTGTTCCGATGCATCTTTGGGAAAGCGCCTTCCTTAGGCTCTTCATGTACCCGTGATTCACGCAACTCCATTGTGCACCCTCCACCCAACGCCTTGTGGTATTCATACCAGAAGTCCTCAGCATTGTCAGGGCTTCCCAGCGCTGATTGTATCCCTCTGCAAGATCCAACGCTGACTCGTCTATTTTGGTCCTTCCACGTTCTTCCAGCCCTTGACACATCTTCCAGGGTCCTTTGTTCCATTGGACTCTTTGTTGATTTTTTGGAATGTTCACCTTTAAACCAACCAATGGCTCACCTTTGAACCAACCAATGGCTGACCACCACTGCCTCTGACCTGAACAATTTCTTCGCATGGAGGGTGTACAAAGAAAACCTCAGAAATGTTTCATCATGATTCATCGTCTGCAAGCTTGACACGAGCACTCAGTCCTGACCCTCCAAACAGCTCCAAGAATCTACAACGCGTACTCGATGTTCGAAAGAATAGTCCCGCGGAGTTTCAGGAAGCACACCTGCTGTCGAGATAGGAAACTCAGCCGATAGAAATCACACACCCTTTGCCAATGTCTTCTTCCACCCTCGTTTTGATTGTCGCTTGAAATAACATGAAATTCAACATACTGTGGTCTACCAACCGCTTGAACACAAGGTGGAGCCCACGAACCTGAATGCACACACTCGAAACAAACGGCCAAACATTGTTTCTTGTAGGGCACTCTTGAGGGAGACACTCTTGCGGAAAACTCTTGTAGGACACCCTGTAGAAGACACTCTTGTAGGACACCCTGTTGGGACAGTTGACTGCTGCCAACCAAACAATCACAGTTTGGATCAGTTTGCTATGACCTGGTCCAGCCCTGGAGCGCTTGAGCTACCACCCACGCCCTTCAGGCCCTTCAAGGGGGCCCTGCGGAGCTGGCGCACCCCCATACAAAAGCTTGAAGCGCATGAGCCAGCAGCGTGCCTGGAGATGGCCAAAACATGAATCAATGAGCAAACCTTTGAATCATTGAACCAGTCAGCAACAGCTTGGCAAACAGCCTGCTCGCACCCACTGTGAAGCAAGGGCTGAGGCAGGTGAAGCTACACGTCATGTCAAAAAAGTAAAGCATAGTGAGCATAACATACAGTCAAATCAAGATTTCAAGCAGTGCTCTGCGGTTTCCATGTCTCTGCAGCCTGGCGTTCCATCTCTCGACAATCCCTCTCCATCGTCACGAGAGTAGTCACCTAAGTTGGTGCAGGTTTGTGGAACAGATCGGAACAACCTTTCAGAAACGGTTAGTGCGCCCGCCGCCCGAAAACATACACTACCATCTAAATCCAGATTTGACATTGAGGCAAATCGAGTTTGTACAAGGTTCAGCCACAGAAATCGTAGTTTAGTAGAGTCTTTAAAAGCCTTGAAGTAGCATGAACTGACTATGGCATAACTCGCTTTAGAAGGAAATTATGACACCGCAGCGTCATCGCAAAGGACCCGCTGCAAGCAGCGGGATGTGTTATGTGTGCAGCGGACTCTGCAGTGGCGAGTGGCCCATTCTCTAAAGCGCGCAGTTGAGGTCTTGGGCCATTTTAAAGGCCCTTCCAGGTTCTTGTTCTCTCTTGTGACAATCCAGTTGATTGCCTCGGCAAAGGGTAAGGGATCAAAATAAAAATAAAAATAGAATCAAAATAAAAATATTCAATGGGGATCAATAAAAAAATAAAAAGGTAATCAACAAAAAATATTCTAGCCCACTGAGGATGGTTGGGGTAGTAGAGGAGAGTGTACCTCCCCAGGAGCTCCCTCCTAGTAGGGAGCTATTTCCACTGGTGAACCACTTTTCGAGTAGGGCTACTCAATGACTGGACGGCAACCTTATCGTTGGGTACCTACTTTCTTCCCAGGGAGCTGCCTCTAGTAGAAAGCAATCAAGCCTCTATTTGCGCAAGCAGGGGACCAGGAGATCGACAGACGAGCGCCGTAGGAGAGCAAAAGACCAGCGGACCAGGAGACAGAAGGACTAGGATACCAGGGGACCAGCGGACCACAGGACCAGAGGACCAGGAGACCGGAGGACTAGGGGACCAGTGGACTAAAGGACCAAGGGACCAGGGGACCAAAGGACCAGTGGACCAGAGGACCAAGGGACCAAAGGACCAAGGGACCACATTACCAGAGGACCCGCAGACCACAAGGCCAGGAGAGCAGCAGAAGAGGCCTATCAAGGAATATTTTTTTGATTCGCTTTTTAATTTTTTGTTGATCCTGTTTTTTTGTTGATGCTCTTTTTATTTTTTTTTGATACCTATGCCCTCGGCAAATGCATTGTCATGCAATCAGTCAGCATCCCCCGAATCTGTGGGCGAAGGTTTCAACTGCTCAGGTTATACAATCATGTCCCCCCAACCTCTCAATTTCAAGTTCATCGCCTTCTTTTCTCACGCATTTTCAGCGGGATGCAGTGGCCATGGAATCGATCCAACAACGACATAGTTATATAGTGTGGTGTCCAAGCCGTCGCAGTTCTTACTTCTGTGGGGTTGTGCCTGCGAATGGAGTCATCAAGGCCAATGAACAAACAACTGCTGCACATGATGAGTCTTTCCGGCTCATCCACCACACCTCAACCCATTATATAAATAGAATGACTTCCCATGAAAGTCCACATCTCAAATCTCCCATCAAGAACATGTCGGTTCCCTGCTGCTGATGGTGGTGGTGGTTTGCTTTAGCTTGGTGAAACATGCTCCAAATCATGTTCTTTTAAAATCTTTTCAACATCCCCCGGGTGAACTCAATGTTGTAAAACGCTCATAGACGCCCGATGGTTCTGTTGCCTTGATCAACTCGATGGTTGGAGTCTTTCGAAGCCTATCGCCTCCTTGGGGTCACGTCGCACCTCTCTGGCACCTCTGGTCCTCGTCGGTCTCTTTCGGCCAGGTCTCCGCGGCTAACTCCTCGGCTTCCACTAGAAAGCGGCAGTCGCTGACCCCACTGTGCTCATCCGGATGTGGCGGCCGCAAGACCTGCAAAGATCAGCAAGAAAGGATGAGGTTATGTGGAGGTTCTTCACCATCACCAGCATCAAAAATGAATGGAAATCAAAGTTGTTGGCGTCTGCACGCTTTCTTAGTGCTCCTTTTCTTGTGTACTGAGGCCTGTGTAATGAGCTGCATCTCCTCATGAGCAGGTACCACGATGTCCCCGGTGAGGATTCCTCTCTGGCCTTTCTGCCACCTGGCGTTGCATCCCCGCCCTCTCTCTCCCTCTCTCCTTTTCTTCTCTCTCCTCTCTCTTTGGTAGATTTTATTGAGTCTGGGAGTCCGGGAGGAGTGGATAAAACATGATGAACATACGTAATGAAGTCGCCAGTGTCCCGCTTTCAGTTGGCTCTGAAATTGCTGGCTGCAAAACAAGCTGCATCTTTACAATAAATGTCTTTGTTGCCACCACTCGCCGCCGTTCCAGGAAGTCAATCACATCACCTTCCTTGCACCGAGATCGGACCGATCGAACCCTCAAAGAAATTCATCTTGAATCTTGTTCCAAGTCCTGAAACTGACTCAAACTCATCATTAAGGGCGTACACAACCTTGTTGGGGAGGAGTGTAGTGTCGCCAGCACTACCCTCCAAGTAAAACAAAAAAGTGCACAAGATTCCTCCCGACGGTAATCCAAACAAACAACGTCACTTCTTGCCGCATTTGCGATATTGGATCAACTACAGGACGCACAGCTGAACTCCCCAACCCATCACCACTGCAATATTCTGTCATGGCTCTGTGTCAGGCAATGGTTGCCGAAGGTTCACCGAGGACCTTCGTCTGGCAATGCCTCACGGCGCCGTATGCACACATTTTGTTGAATCATATGCCTCACATTTTAAATTTGTTGAAGCAAAGGCACCTGCGTGTCACATGTTCAACGCCGGAGGCCGGAGGTGGGTCTTGGTATGTCTTGGTACAGTTGCGTAGTTTCGCTCCTCTCCCCAAACAGCTCTGCCAATGGCCCTATGCAAGCAATACCGCAACACCCAAAAAAGGTCATTTTTGAACAAGCAGGCATTCTTCAATTAGTGACAGTGTCTTAGATTAAGCATATGAATCAGTAAATCGTTAATTACACATATAATATATAATTACACATTATGCATTGGTAAATTGCATGTAGGCATACATTGTCAGTAGTCAAGTGTTTCCTATACACACCCTCCAACCACAATGGGCTCATGCTCAAGGCCATCCATTCTTCTCTCCATTCTTCTCAAGATAGAGTCATTCCATCTGGACTCCAAACACCCAAAATCTATCCAAATGTCTTTCTGCAGTCTACCAACAATGCACAGCATGAGCTCAGCAGTGTGAGTGATCCAGTGACACCAAATATTGCGGCCATCCCACAAAATACCCACATATTTTGGGAGCTTGCCGACTTATGAAGACCAAAGACTCTTTGCCAGACTTCCACCCAAATAACAAGCACCTTACGTAAAAAAATCTCATGTGACACCACATGTTTGCGTCGCACAGCAACCATCGCCTGAGCTGACAGTGCCAGGGCTGGCTGGACTGGGCAGATCGGCAGCAGGAGTTGTCGATCCTGGTCACATTTTTGGATGGCTCTCCTTTTTCAAAACACCAACCCGGAACGTTCTCTGTTTCTCTGTGTCATTTTGCTGACCAATTTAAGGACCTACATCATTGCGCCCAAACAGAATGAACACCGGTGGACTGCCGTTCCTGAATCTCTGGATCCGTTTGCATCTTCCAAGTGGGAATAAATGAATCCACCACTCATCTCCACAAATTCTGAGACTTCAAAGAGTCCCAGTGTTGCCTGTCTCGCTGGCAGAAGTGGGTGAAGAAAGTAGCACACCTGAGTCAACACCACAGGGCGAAGAAACCACCGTCCAACGAAGAAACCAAATTCCGCAGGTAAAGATCAGGGACACCAATCCGGGTCAGCAGGGTCGAGGAAAAAAGAACCACAAAGTCCAAATCCAAATACATCCAGAGTCCACCCTGGCCAGGACTGTGCCAAACCCCAAAGAAGAAAGTCACCTCCTGTCGATGGACTTCGTGCTTCCGTCGCTTGCTTGTTCGCTTCGTGTCGCTTCGTGTGGCACGGCGGCCTTGAGGGCTCGTTGGCCCCACTGGGCTTGGACTGGCCGAACTTAGGCTTGGATGTTCAGATCCTGCAGGTGCAAGGACGCTACTAGGGGCTCCTGGCCGTACTACTAGGAGCAAGGACGCTACTAGGCGCCAAGAAACACTCGCCCAAAACACCGTGGGCACACCAAACACTGGAAGCTGATCTTGCCCCCTTCGCTTTATTGGGGTTTGTGTCTGCTATGTCTTGGGGTGTTCCCAGACCAGCATGAACCTGGAACCTCAAGCTCTTGTGCGACGATCTGCCTATGCACACCAGCGGTGACAAGGGCCCGTTCATGGTCCATCCAACTTCAGTCGTGAATCATGTGTTTTGTCTGTTTTATCTTGACTTGGAATCCCAGGACCGTTGCATCGCAAACTGAATAGTTATTGTAAGTGTAGAAAACTGCTACCTGCGGTACGGAATTGTCTGTGATATTGATTCTGCTCAACAAAAACCTTCAGCACGTTTTTCTGAGTCTCATGATCTAGTTGAACAAGAACATACAATATATTTGGATTGGGTCTATCTTTTACCAGTAACAGTGGATGATGGTTCGCAAAGGCCTTGTTCAAAGAAATTGTTTACTCACTGTTACAGGTATGATAGGACAAACCCAATATATCTCAGTCTCAATATGTGATCATGTTTTGTAGTGGGCGGTCAAATCTTGGAACGGGCGGTCCCACATGATTCTGCCTCCTGCGCTCGATTTGGGCCAGTACTCCAGATCAGACTCATCCACCGTCTGCGACTGTTCCATGACGATCCTCCCTGAGAAGAACCGACCACAAAAAAATGACGTGTCAAACATTCCTGTCGTCCTGCCAGCCTGTCCAAAAAAGTCGATGCAGCTCTGCAAAAATAAACCGGACGGAACTTGCCACATGAACAACGAGTAACAGTCAGTGATAGCCATCCGTGGCAAACTTGGTGATCTGCATGATCCCCTTTTGGGTTTGGAGATTTGGGTGTTTCATGGTGTTTCTACAGTAATTAGTATAGTAATAAACTATATATATACAGTGTCAGTTGGATGCACCCACCTAGTTGTCAACGAAAAGCCAGTGCGACGCCACGAGACTTGGAAACCGAGAGTCACAGGGCACTTGGGAGTAACGCACTTCACACATCATGCCGTACCTTTGCTCAACCCCAATGTTGCCACTATGCTGGCCCACACCAGGTGTCACGGCGACCGTTCCGCCCCAGCGGCGAATTTCGGCAATTCGAGGAGAAAGTTCCTTTGGAAGCTTCCACTCTTCTTCTGGCTCCTTCTGGGACCTGGAGCCATGGCAGCGTTCGTCGCACCAACGATGAGCACCCGACACTTTGGCCCTGGCTGGTGGACTGATCTGAAAAAGCTGGACATCTTCCCTAAGGCCCTAATTGATGGTTGACATGCAACTCCGCGGAACATGTTCTTGAAGCACATGATGCTGGTGGCCGATGGCATGTTGCACAGCGTGTTTGTTCAACGGCCTGCCTTTGAGAAGGATCCAACAAACACCTCAGCACCAGGGATCACATGTGAAAAGCAGGATGATCAAATCACATCGAGGATCATCTAGACATTATTGAAATGAAGAGACCCCCACCCCCACCCACCGGTCCTTCATGGAGCATACGCTCTTTTTTCGGACCGTACTTCCACCATTCGTTTGCACAGCGGATTGTGGATGTTTGTCCAGCGTTTCCCGTGAGCTTTGACCTATCTCCACAACTTCCTCAGGTCCCTCTGCCAAGGCGCTGCAGCTCCTTCCGTCGTTTCAACCACACAGCCGCCATGGCGATCTTGCTGGCTAACGCCGCTAACGCCCTCGTTTCGGGTTTTTCAATCATGCACAACTGAGCTGTAGCTGCAACGACTTGGCTGATGCCATTGTGACCACGTGAGCCAGACTCAATAATACAGAATTGAAGAATTGGATCAACAAGTTGCTCTTTATCTGTGCCATCACGTGCGGACCTGTGTTTATTGACTGTTTTTGTTCACCTCCATGAACACCCAACAGACTTACTGTTAGGTTTGGTCCCAATATTGGCGGTGCATTTCAGCCCTTCACAAGTGAACACTGTGTCACTGTGGCGCATCGTTCACTCGGGCACCACACCTGGCGTCGGAACACAACGACACATGTTCTTCGCACGCCTCCCAGTGATTGGCTGGCACGCCTCGGTGTGATTGGCGGGTCATGGAATCGGAGATGCACACGTCGAAAGTCGGGTCTTTGCAGCTATTAGAGTTCAGTGCGGTTGAAAAGTCCGTCTGAAATGTTTAAGAGTAACAAGAAGCTCCTAGTAACAAGTGCCACGCTAGTAGTAACAAGTGCCTTACTAGTAGTAACAAGAAGCTACTTGACTAAGAACACGTCACTGCATTCTGCCAAATCTTGGCGCATCGCCGTTACACTCAGTGATGCCCAGCCGCATTCGGCCAGCCTTCAACAAGAACCTCAGATCCAGCCCAGTCCGGTCCAGCTGTGGTTGCACAAGGAAACATGGCATCCATCAGGCCCATGGCATCACGGCTTAACATTTCTTTCATAAATCATCATTGATAATATAAATTAAATATAGTATTATTATATATATTATATATTGTACTCATATTGTTGTACTAGCTTGGTACATGTTGATACCACATGCAGCGCATATGGACCAATTTCAAGCACTACGTGCGTGAGAGAGAGAGGGAGAGACAAAGAGAGAGAGAGAGAGAGAGAGAGAGAGAATGGATGAATATAGGGGAGACGAGAGTCAACCAATGCGTCAAACGGATTTACAGTTTTACTGTGTGTTCTCTGATTCCCTGCCAAATTGGCGTTCCGCACCTTCCCCGTTGCTGCAAGAGCTCATCGCGGCGGACGAGCCTGAGGCAAATTGATCACATCGAAGCCCGAACACCCCATCGGGCAATGTCCGAAAGCCAGAATGGTTGAACGTTCGGTGACCGGTGGGTCTTCAATTTCCTAAGGCCACTCGGAAATGGTTCAATGGTGGACCGGTGGAAAAGCACCGCACATCGAACCTCTTCAAAGGACATCCTTTTTTCGGTGGGACTCGACGCCGTCGACTTCTGGACGTCTTTCGGTCGAATCGGGCGACCGGGCTGGCCCGTCCGTCCCCGCTCGCGTCCAACGTGGCGAGGGCAGCTCCTGGGGCGACCGGGCAGCTCGCCCAACTCTCTCCTGCGTTGCTGCGACCGTGCTAAAGCCCGCACCTGGCAGCTTCACCAATCGATTGCGACCGTGCCAGGGCTGGGGAAGGTATCGTTTGGAGTGGTAGGCGTCTATCAGTGAAGGGGGCACACTCGCACATAATAAGCTGGATGTCAAAATGTTTGCACATATCGTTTTTCATCGTTTTTCCCACCACCTAGGACCTACGAACGATGAGTATGCCACAAATACGTCAGGTTGTTCAGGATGTGCTTTCACATTTCAACATGCATGCATGACTAACATCCACTTATCAGAAACAACAATGGACTTGCAAGATTCTATTGACACTTCCTGGTTTCTGAAAGGCATTTGCCCAAACTTCACCAGCTTCCGCTCTGTCCTGCCTCTCCTTCCAGCTCACCTGGCAGGCTTCTCCAGGCCCCAGATTCATGGTCTGCGGCTAGTATTCTATTTAGTTTTAAAGCATGGGTCTATGGCCTCCGTCTTCCTACTCTGAAATTCTGGAATGCTCCCATTCCGATCGCGAATCGGGGTTGAATTGCCACAACAAAGCAGCAGGGACACCCAGGGTCCATCGGATCGAATCCTAAACAAGTGCAAAGAAGCCGCGGGGTCTGCAAGTGCAAACGTTAAGCTACACCTTGGTTCACAATAACGCAGCATCACACATTCTTCACGTTGACTCAAGGATGCTGGCATAGTACTGAATGAACCTGAAACCTTCGCTATGAGGCGCAAGCGTGCGGGCACCACGCATGATCAGGCAGGTTTGCCACTGCAGAATCGACTTTGCCACATTCCTGCAGTGATCCAAAGCACATGTCAAAACCGATTCAAGCAGGCCCAAGCTTGTTCAGTCACAATCCAATCAATGGGTTCACTGATGCGGTCGAACGTCGTATCGGCATAGATGTGGTCACCAATGTACATCACCTGCGGTCAAACGCTTCCGCCCCGCAGTGGGCCGAATGCTTCCGTATCCTGTCTAACATCCCTCTCCTATGGTCGGATGGGTTCAAACTTGCCTGCAATCCCAAACCAAACTATATACATATATACATACATATGGTTGATGATGGTTGATGAGGCTGTGGCTCTGGTGGACAGGTCATGTGGCACCCTCCTTCGGTGTGAGGCCCAGCCAAGATGCCAAAACATTCGAAGGGGTTCACCTACATTCGACACAGGAACCGTTGTGATAGAAGTAGAGCTCCCGATGATCTCTCGCCTGCTGCCCACCGTATGCAAAGCACTCTTCCACCATGCGTGCATATCCGCCGCAGTAAACGCGGCCCACCTGGAAACCAATCCAGTCGAGGTTTGGGGGGCGCCTTCATTTCCAGGCTCTTACAGGATTCCACTCCAAGGACCAAAGCACAACATCATGGTCATCTGTCATGCGGCATGGTAAGCCCCCCATAGGGACATGGGGTTGAGATGAGTAACCAAAGGTTTGTTCAGTGTCGCTATGCTGCAGAGGTCTTTTTGACCATGCCTCATGTCCATTCCTCCACTAATGCCATGGCCTCCATCTTGGCTCTCGGGGTTGAATGAGTAAGGCCGCGTTCCTTCAAACACCAGGCCACCAGGCAGCCGATTTGGCAACGACAAAGCCATAAACTCACAATCAACAACAAATTTCATGAAGTTGCGATGAAGTTCTCGCGTGAAACTTAGGTTTTAACCTTATAGGGTTTGAAGCCAGATTTGTGAGTGAAACACCTCCTTGGGCCGACAGTTTGTGAGGAAACCAGCTCCAAACGGACCCAAAACTGTATTGACCCTACAGCGGCATGTGCAAACTGCATTATGTAAAAGACACACATTTTCCAGGGTCAAACCCTGACAGAACTGTAGATGGGATGATGTGTCAGCCCAGGTCTGGGAAAATATCATAATTATTGACGTTGGACAGGCATGGAAACTTAATTAACTAAAAACCAACAAACTACCCAAAACCGCGTCGCATTCATGTAAAACTCTTAGACTCTAAGACTCTAAGAAAAACTATGGGAGCACCCCTTGAGTCATTCTTGTTGCAATAGGCTGGCGGGCCACCACACTCCAATAGTAGCTGAGATTTGGCGTACTGGATGCAAAGCTGCTGTTAACAAAATCCTCTTCACCGGCTGTCTGTATCGCTTCACAATCGCACAAATATAACCCCAACAACATGGAAACTGCGGAGGGTGAGGCTGGTCAACGGGAAACCAAGTGGTCATCGAAAAGGCATATCTTTGGTTGTTTCTCATGACAAGTATGTGAGTTAGCGTCAATATTATCTGGCTGGGCTGTTTTCTTTTTCTTTTTGTGAGTCCCGTATCGTTTTCCAAGGTTTTGGTTATGATGTCATGCAACTACATCCCTATCCAACTCGACTAGTCACGTTCCGGTGAAGCGTGTCATTTGTGCAGCCATCCCTCATCACTACCAGCTTGGAGCACCGTTGCCACATGGACATTGCCATATATCGGCACTAGGCAGTAACAAAGTTCAGCACAATGCCGATCAATTTCATTAAGGCCACAGCGGGCAGAGAGGAAGCACCATTGCCAAGATCATATGCAATATCCACTGGAATCACAAGGAGGATTTCACATCCGCAGAGGGGAGTCTTTGAATCTAGATGATTTATAACTTTATAACCTCTGGGATCCACATTTTCAACTATCCGAGCAGGTGTCGGAGGTCTCGCTGCCTCTTTTTTGTTGCTGCCCTTTGCTTCTGTTTCTGAGCCCGCCTCACCCTTTTCTCAAAACCAAGCTGTGTGCAGCAGGCATTCCTGTATAGCACTGGTCGGCACCCCCCGCTATCAAATGGCTTTGCGCTGCCTGCCTCCTAGTCAAGGATGTATCAACTCAGGACCTTCTGCTTCATTGGCCAATGCCTCTTTCAGCAGCAGCCGCACAGCAGCCATAGCTTTTGCTGTCTTCCTCATGGCGCAAAAAGGATAAACTAGACCTGATACAGGGGTATCGACAGGAGATCAAATGGTCCATAGATCACTTTAGTCGTCTGGCCTCAGTGGAGGGGTATCGATAGGGGTATCGATAAGGCAGACTGTTGGGACCACCGTCACTTGTGCGAAATTTGCTCACTTTGGATGAAGCAGGGCTGCAGTCGCGACATGAAGCTGAGAAATTATTCAATATACGTCTGCGCTAGCTATGATTGCAGTGTGAAGACCTATACAATAGATGATAGATAGATGCCATAAGATCGTCTCTGGGCAATCAGTGCAAAACCAGCGCCAACAACAGCAGCAATGGCTTAGCCTCCGCTACCAAGGTGCACCCAGCGGCGCTGAAGAAATCAGCAACGGCTTTGCAACGGCTCAGCTTGAGCAACCATGAGTAGCGCCGACCAAAGCAGCAATGGCTTAGCCTCCGCAGCCATGGCGCACCTAGCGGCACCAAAGAAATCAGCAACGGCTTGCAACGGCTCAGCTTCAGCAACCATGAGTGGGCTCCCGCTTCTCCACACACCAAATGGCTGGCATAGCTAGATCCCCCTTTCAAGCACAAACAGCTTCCAATCGAACAACGGGCGTATCAAAAGAAACCTCAACTAACTCAAACACAACGATATGGATGAAACGTCCCTTCAAAAGTGGTTGATGATAATTTTGAGGTTGACTCATGTCTTGAAATGGGACCTTG